GCCATTTGGTCGAAAATACCTCAAAAATGAGTCAAAAATGTCACTTTTGATTTACTGTACTTTTTACTAGTAAAAGGTGTGCGACTATTTCACTGGATTCATGACCTCATGAGTTGCCCTCTACCATGTACAACAAGACAGAAACATTTACTGTAGAATATTGAGAAATATTGATTTAAAGATAGCCTTTTGGTCCAAAATACCTCAAAAAATCGGTAAAAACATGTCACTTTTGATCTACTGTAACTCTTTTACTGTAAAAAAGGTTGTGCGACTAATTTCACTGGATCCTGACCTCATGATTGTCTTCTTTTTTTTTTATACACACTGTACCAAAGACCAGACTTTTTCTGTAGAAAAATTGATTTAAAGTAACATTTTGGTCAAAAATACCTCCAAAATAGTCAAAAAACATGTCACTTTTGATCTACTGTAACTTTTTACTGTAAAAAGGTTGTGCGATCTAATTTCACTGGATTCATGCCCTCATGATTGCCCTCTACCACTGTACAAAGACAAGAAACATTTACAGTAGAAAATATTGCGAAATTATTGATTTAATTAGCCATTTGGCAAAATAGCCTAAAAAAATGGTCAAAAACATGTTTCACTTTTGATCTACTGTAAGCTTCTTACTGGTAAAAAGTGTGCGGACTAATTTCACTGGATTCATGACTTCATTATGTCCTCTACCAGAGCTGTATTTGCTTGCAGCAGGTGCTGGCTGCCTTTTTCACTGCTTCTGTTTTCCTGTCATAGTTGACAGAATTTGTTGGTGCAGCCAGGAGGCCGGAGGGGGTCCGGTTCGGAGGACCACAGTATTTCATCATGGGCTCCAAAGGAACAAGGACCTGCAACATGCACTGTGACGGTTGCAGCGCGTGTGGAAGCGGCTTGGGAGGAGAATCAGCACCTCCAAATCCGAGGCCATGATGCTGACGGAAAAAGGTGGCCTTGGCCCTCTCGGAGGATGAGTAAAGATTAATGAGTAATGATTATTTATATAGCGCAGTATATATATAAAAAAATATTATATAGCGGGTAAAAAAAAGCATCTGTAGCATGTGTCAGCAGGCGCAAGTAAGACTTAATTTCAAAGCGAGTTAAAGTAGAGTGGTTTTATGACACACATTATTTACGCCTTTTTCACTGACCAGATACCTGCTATTTTCTTATTCCGGGTCTCAAAAGCGGTTTACATGAATGTTATTTTTTTTTAGGGCATTTGTCTCTCACTCACTCCACACAGAGATGGGAGCGGGTCAGCCAGTACAGGAGGCACATGCCAGAACTATTGGGCCATATTATTAGTGGTAGGGGGAAAACGGAGTACCCGGAGGAAACCTACGCAGACACGGGAGAACATGCAAACTCCACCTCAGAAAGGCCCTGGTGCCGCCCTGGTCCGACGAGGTGATTCGAACTCACGTGGAGGAGTTCAAGTATCTCGGGGTCTTGTTCACGTGTGAACTGGAGCGTGAGATTGACTGGTGGATCGGTGAGTGCTGCGGCCACTTTTCGAATTTACCCGGTCTAATTCTTGTTTCCTTCCATCACCTCTGGTCATGAGCGACCGAAAGGAACGAGATTGTAGATTCTAGGCGGAGGAAAGAGGTTGGGCACTCCCTTAAGGGCTTTCACCCCGGGACTCAACTTAGACTTGAAAAGCGTCAGTTTTGCACTGAAAATGAATAGTGAAGCGCGTCAGGTGACGCTGAGAGGCCCGGGCGTCCACCTGAGCGTTCAAAAGCGAGAGCATTATGCGCATCACTTGAAGTTTTGCACGCGTATGCTTGCTGCGTCTCTTTTGTCGTAAAAAAGTCCCTTAACGCCGAAGTTGAGAAAAGCTTTTGGAGCTTGAGGCCGGCTTCTACAGTAAAAGTTCTGGTCTTTGGTACAGTGGTAGAGGGCAATGTTGAGGTCATGAATCCAGTGAAATTAGTCGCACACCTTTTTACAGTAAAAAGTTACAGTAGATCAAAAGTGACATGTTTTGACATTTTTAGGCTATTTTGGACCAAAATGGCTACTTTAAAATCAATATTTCTCAATATTTTCTACAGTAAAAGTTCTGGTCTTTGGTACAGTGGTTAGGGGCAATCATGAGGTCATGAATCCAGTGAAATTAGTTGCACACCTTTTACAGTAAAAGTTACAGTAGATCAAAAGTGACATGTTTTGACCATTTTTAGGCTATTTTGGACCCAAATGGCTACTTTAACTCAATGTTTCTCCAATATTTCTACAGTAAAAGTTTCTGGTCTTTGGTACAGTGGTAGAGGGCAATCATGAGGTTCATGAATCCAGTGCAATTAGTCGCACACCTTTTTACAGTAAAAAGTTACAGTGGATCAAAAGTGACATGTTTTGACCATTTTTGGGCTATTTTGGACCAAAATGGCTACTTTAAATCAATATTTCTCAAATTTCTACAGTAAAAGTTTCTGGTCTTTGGTACAGTGGTAGAGGGCAATCAGTGAGGTCATGAATCCAGTGAAATTAGTCGCACACCTTTTTACAGTAAAAAGATACAGTAGATCAAAAGTGACATGTTTTGACCATTTTTAGGCTATTTTGGACCAAAATGGCTACTTTAACTCCATATTTCTCAAATTTCTACAGTAAAAGTTTCTGGTCTTTGGTTTACAGTGGTAGAGGGCAATCATGAGGTCATGAATCCAGTGATAATTAGTCGCACCACCTTTTTTACAGTAAAAGTTACAGTAGATCAATAGTGGACATCGTTTTGACTATTTTGGAAGGCTATGTTTGGAACCCAAAATGGTTACTTTAAATCAATGATTTGCTCAATATTTCTACAGTAAAAGTTCCTGGTCTTTGGTACAGTGGTAGAGGGCAATAATGAGGTCATGAGTCAAGTGCAATGTATCGCCACCTTTTGTCCTGTAAAATAGTGTACACTACTTGAAATTGCACTAGCGGACCAATTGTGTACGTGATCTTTGTATACAATCGCGTGGTATCCTCTGCGAGACTCACAATCTGCCGTAGGAATCGTAGGGGGTGGTGCTATGTGTCTTCTCTATCAGGTTTAACTCACAAAAAGGTATCGCCCTGACACCGCGCGCTTTCTGGTTCGATTAAAAATGGGTACTCGGATAGGACGTTCCGCTGTTACCTTTAAGTTCCAACAAAACGCGCACCGTCTTTTTCCGTATGCGGCCCGCTGTTCATAGAGTGCGGAAAGATGGTGGCACTTTACCGCGGTCTACGCTGCAGGTTTGCCACCAGCCGTCCAGTCGATCGTTGCCAAATGCAGGACACGAGCAAATCACAATACATCACGATGGGACACATCCAACTGTTTTAGATTAATCTTTTTTTTTGTACTGTTGCAATGGTCAGTTTGGTCACAAACAGTAACACGCTTTGACCCGTTTCACTATACAGTGCGTTATTTACACGTCGTTCTCTTGCTTCACTTCACTCTTGGTCAGATGGAGGTGACATGTGCTGTTGGAAAGATGATAGATTTCAGGCTTAAGATTCCTTCATCATCGGAAGGATTCTTTGAGGACATTACCTCAAATATTGTGTTTTGGTTTGTTTGTTTGTTTTAGTGTGCAATTGATATCGAAGTCACTGCAGTTGATGCGTTATTAAAATTCTTCAGTTTATTTCTGAGTTTAATTAGCTGGTCAATTGATTTAATTGTCATGTGAGTTTGTTTGTTTTTAGTTTAGATGTTTGTTTATTATCTCTATCTTGTGTGGGACAGAAATTAACTAATTACTTGCGTGTTTGGATAGTCTAAATAGGCTTCGGGTTTCAATTAAACATCTCTTCTATAGCCCTACATACTAATACACATACACTGCACCACTTGATTGGCCAGAGCTCACATAATATTTGGACTGTCACTAACATCAAGGTAGTGACTTTGAGTTGGTTGTGTAGCTATTCATCTGTACGTTTACAGGAGTACACTTTTTTGTGGGTGTACTCTCTCCACTATTGGCTGTCATTTGGGCTCAGGGGCTCACTCCATAGAAGGAGGGAAGAGGGTATGCTGTTGCCAGGGAAGACTCACTGCAGGATTATCATCCATGGATTAGAGAGAACAGGGCAGCAGTATTCATGTTCATCATGATTACAAAGCGCTTGTTTTTAGATTATTTGTGACTAGACGATGGAAAAATATGAAGAAATACTCCTGATCCAGTGTGAATGCAGAAATAGGCTAAGGCTCCTAGGATAGAATTTTTTTGTCTTTTTTATGTGTGTGTGGAGTCATGTTGTAACCTTCATATTCAGACTAAACAAAGCTGCCCAGAGGATGAGGGGAGGGTGGACACAGAGGTGCCCTGTCTTCAGACACCTGTGGCTGCTATCGAAGACACTGTACGCCTGTCTGTGAGTGCCAGCATGTGCATTTGAATCAGACGGACAGAGTCGGAGGATGCTCCATCGCCTCTTCTTTAGGTCTCTGATTTTGCAGGTTTATTTATCTGTGACTGTGGAGCCAAAGACTGCCAGACTTGACTCTAAATGCACGTGAGTATTAAAGATGTTGTATTCTTATTTATAGACCATCAATATCCACTGATGCTCTAACAATGATAACCCCAAAAATGTGTAAGGTCATTGTTTAGTTTCTCTAATCAGTTTTACATTACAAAAATGTTTCCCCCTTTTTTGCCTGTTGTTCCTTTTACTAAGCCCAAACAGAAATACAATTGTGCATCGAGTCTCACTAGTTAATAATGTCAACATTCTAACTTGAACCAGCCGTGGAAATTTAGTAAAGAGAGAGAGATTTCACCGAATTTGTTTTCAAGGGGAGTCCATCACATGACTCTCACATGGGCTCCTATGGCCCTTGTGACCCTCTGCTGCAACCCTTTTCTTTTTTTTTTTCAAAAATCTTATGATTAAAAGCAATTGTTAATGAAAACATTATCATCATTGATTAAAAAAGTATGTCTAACTATGACCGTTTTCCCCTTCTACACTCAGGTTATCAGGCTCTTCATTGAAGAATGGGCACTACAGAAGCAACGCTGAGAATTGACAACATGGAAGTGCGAGATGAGTGGCAGGATGAAGACTTCCCCAGGTTTTGTGCGATAATAACTGTGTCATAATTGAGTGGATCTATAAAGGGTCATATTTCTCACAGAATTTTAATGAATCATTATGTATCTTTCTAATACTCCCTATCCACCCTATCAAGAAGGGAAATAAAGCAATATTACAGTTATTACTGGTTTTGAAATATTATGTGGTTCCCAAAGTTGGGAGTTGCACACACACATACACACCCTCAAACACAAAGTAAATCTAATTGTATTTTATCAATCTCTATTTTAAATTGTAAATTTGTATCTATTAAATATTTGAATTATTTTATTCAATGTACTATATACTTCTACTCTATTCTTGTCGTGTTAATGCACTCCCACAACTCATAATATATAGATTTCAATCTATTTTGTAGTCCATTAGATTAGATTAGATTAGATATGTTTTGTTATGTGAGATCTTAAGACCTTGTTTCTGAAATAGTAATAATAATAATACTCTCCATAATAATTGATCACATTTACTATTTTAATAATGATTTTTGTTTTATCCCCCTGGCCTTGCAATGCCTTTCTTACTTTATAACATTTTTGAAAAAAATAATTTCTAAATTGAAAATAAACCATAACTACTTGTTACCTTAGCTGCAGTAATATTGTTGCAGCTACAGGACACATCCCCTTTCATTGAATTGCACATGCGCACGCACACACAGCAGCGGTGGAGGGGAGCAGGGGCAGGTGCATCTGCTCCACATCCAGTGACGTAGCAACGTAGCAGCACTGAACAACAACACAGCATCACCAGGAAAATGGTGGCAGTAAGATTTTCTTCATAAGAGTCCATGCAATCTGAGCTCTGTCATCATAAAGGCTTTAAATAGAAAGGTCTGGAGGGAAGAGGCAGATCTGAGTTGGCTCTGACTACAGCAGTTTTCCTGGAAGGTAGGAATAACACCAGCCTATACTGATGTTGTGGCTGCAGCGAAACTGTAATAGACATTTGCTCACGAGCAATGTTAATGAACTGGGGATTATCAGAGGATTTTTACTGATATAGACTTGTCACTCCATCTCACAACGGCTCATATTGCAACGCATAGGAGTTAAAATTGTTCCTTTGCAGAAGAGAGATAAGAGGACTCTATATAATCTATGAAATCTATTTTGGTTGTCAGTACAGATAGTTTTTTGTTATTAATTTTCACCACATTAAAGGTGTAAGGTAATCTACTCTTCTTACTGTTTGTTAGACTCCTAATTAACATGTTGGTTTGACATACTTTTTTGTTTTATCTTCTGTCACTTTAGACCACTCCCTGAGGACGGAGACATGGATCCCTCCTGTGGGCTGTCTGATAATAAAACCTGTAAGTATATATAGTCCCCCATAGTTTGATGTCACCCATAGTGAACCTTAGGCTTAGGGTGTATATGTATTTATCAATGTTTAAATTAGACACTTTTTAAGAGAGTATTTTTAATGAAAAGAATGTAGCAGTTTTCAAACCTGATGCTCCAGTGTTCAGTTCCTGCTTGTTCTTGGGGTATTTCCTCAGCTGGTGAAACGCTGCTCAGTCCGATCCGTAGATAAATGCAGTATGGCTCAATCAGATTCAGGTTATTATTTGTTTATTGACCTTTTTTATCCAGGAAAATCCCACTGAGATTTCAGAATGTGTTGCATAATTCTACTTCTTCGCCTTAAAATGCATTTGCTGTGCGCATTGGATCCATCTGCAATGTGATTGGGCAAGTATTTGGGCAGATAATTTCACCAGAAACACTTCAAAATGAATCCTCCTGCTTTTATTTGCGGCCACATCATCACACACAAGATAAGTGAATATTAAGTATAGCACAATTCTATAGTTTTTATCTTATTTGTAATTTATAGAGTTGTGCTTGGGCTGTGTTACTGTTCTTTAAATTGTGATGCAACACTGAAATTTACCCATTGTGGGCGATGAAAGGAAAATATAAGGGAAGACATGCACACATTATGACACCAACGTGTTTCATTGATGATTTTTGAGTCATAAATTGTTCCTTTCCTTCTCCATACTCATCTCTTGCCATCTCTCTGGTGCAGGTTGGTCTTTGTCTCTGTCTAAAGGATTGTCTATTGTCCCAATATTTCTCAGCCCTTCAAAATGGGGTTACTCACAAATGATGGTATTTGCTACATTATTGCCTGATTTGGATGTACCCTCAAAGCTGGCATTTTGCAGTTATAGCGCTAGCTTCTAGTCTGTCTCATATCTAATCCATGTTGGTGGTTCAGTGAGAATCCGTGTACGTGACACAATATTTATGTAGATGACTTGTTCCAAACCTGCAGCTCCTCCTCTAAACTCGAGTCCACCTCGAGCGGGAGGAGGGCCTCGACAAAAGCGGCGCACACTGATCGCTCCCGAGATGAATCTATCTCTGGACCAAAGTGAGGGCTCCCTGCTGTCCGATGACTTCCTTGATACTCCTGATGACCTGGACATAAACATTGACGACATTGACACACCAGATGAGACAGATTCACTTGAATTCATTACCAACGGCAATGACTTGGAGTGGGAAGGTTAGTTCTTTAACTCAGTAACTTTTGATTTCATAAAAAGGTAGTATATGATATGTGCATTATTCAACTTGTTCAGATGATGCACCAGTGGCCTCTGCCAAAGCAGGGCCTGGAAACTCAATGGGAGAGGAGGATGAAGGGAATGCAAATGAACGTCTGTGGAGGACAGTAGTTATAGGAGAACAGGAACATCGCATTGACATGCAAGTCATTAGGCCGTATATGAAAGTCATCTCACACGGAGGTACATGCCATGGCAGTCAAGACAAATAGTTCCTGTTATGTCTTTTGAAAAATATAATAATGCAGATATAAACCTGTACCTTATGAAACTACTTGTGCATTTCAACCAGGATATTATGGAGAAGGTCTAAATGCCATCATTGTGTTTTCTGCGTGTTATCTGCCCGAAAGCAGCAGCTCTGACTACAACTACATCATGGAAAACCTTTTCTTGTGAGTGGAAATATTTCTTACCTCTTCCTTACCTTTTTTAAGTGGCACATGATTCTGCTTCTCCCAGATATGTGGTGAGCAGCCTGGAAATGCTGGTTGCTGAAGATTACTTGATCATATACATGAATGGAGCCACGCCTCGAAGTAAAATGCCAGGGATCAGCTGGCTGAAGAAATGTTACCAGATGATTGACCGAAGGTAATAAATAAAATAAAATGAAAAACATAAATACAATTTGAAACAATGTATTCTTGTATCATTTCTGACATAATTTAACATGGCAGACTGAGGAAGAACCTGAAATCTCTTGTCATTGCTCATCCTACCTGGTTCATAAGGACTGTGCTGACTATATCAAGACCCTTTATCAGGTAAGTCAGTTTATTGAGCAGTTAAGACCAGAGCCCTAAGCCTTCCATGGTCCGCTTTGTGTGCTGCAGTGTGAAATTTATGAATAAGATCCGTTACGTGCATAGTCTGGAAGAATTGGCCGAAATCATTCCAATGGAACACATCCATGTACCTGAGTGTGTGGTGCAGTAAGTATCTCAAACCAGTAGATGGCAATGATCCTCTGCATGCAAGACCCAACCAAAGGTCTGATCTGTATTTCAGGTATGATCAAGAGAAAATTAAAGTCAGAAGAGAAAGGTAAACTTTTTTTTTTTACATCTCATCATCATAGTGATAACAATAATAGTCATAATAATGATGCATATTATTCCACTTCCATTATGTACAGGCTGGAGCAAGAGCAGAAACAGCAGGAAAAGCAACAATCTCTCTCACAGGTTTCAGTAAAGAAGTCTGCGAGGTGAGACAATGCTGAAAATATCCTGTTTTTTGGACTGAATAAACAGTTATACATGATTCATTATTTTTCTGTATGTATCAAAGGCCCATGTCAATGGCTGCTGATTAATTCATACTTAAAGGACAAGGCCAGAAGAAGGTAGCATTATACATGTTATAATTAAGGAGAATATCTTATTTATTCATTGTAATGTTTGTGTTTTCTACAGGAACAAGAAGCATGAATTGCCTTCAAATCCAGGGAACAGAACGAAGCTCTTTGCAGCACAAACTGGAAATTCATTCGCTCTCGCTCTCGCTCTATGCTTTCAGTTGTAGAGCTTTAGGTTATTGAAACCCAAAACCAACTATTTGTATTAAAAATGCTAAATCATAGTAAACATCAGCCTATGCTTACTCTAGAATGCAATACTGTATATCAGCTTCATTTTCAGTCAGTAAACCTTCGAAGCACTACTGATGTGCCTAAATTAAACGCATTTCAGTCCATAGTATCTGTTAACACAAATGATTGTAAAGTGTCTAAAAGAACATGCATAAAGGGTTGTATAAATAACTCCACAGTGTGTACTCAACCAATTGTGTACGCATTCAATAAGCCTTAACTGCACTTACTGTACTTTTGCTCACTTTGGATCAGATTTAATTGTGAACAGTAAAGCAAGGCAACAGTAAACAGCACTTTATAATAATGTATGTTATATATAATATCTGTTTTCTCTCTCTGAAAGAGCAAGAGTTTGGATCCATCTTTATATCCATCATTTGATTCCCTGAGATCCTATTCAACATGCTTTGGCCATGGTTTTCACAACCATTGTTAGAAAAGAAGCATGAAGAGGAAATTATTTAACAGTCAAGGTTAGGCTTACCCCGAGGAAAAATATCGTCTATAAGAAAAGCAAGTCTGACCCCTGTTTGATGGACACTTCAGTAGAACCTTCTAATGGGTAGGAATAAGCAAAGGAAGATTTAGTGAAGGCTGCAGAATGTAATGAAATGAAAACATCTGTCCTGCTATAGAGCATGGAGGTGGATCCAGCACGCTTCAGGGTTGTGTTGCAGCCAGAGGCACAAGCTTAGGACACATTTATGGGTTGAAGAATGTAAAATTACAACAAATTCCAGAAGCTAACTTGACTGTGAGAAGTTAAAAAGAGGAATGCTTGCAGTAACCTTTTCTGTATCCTGACATGTGTTGAAAAGAATGAATAAAAACAGTGAATAAAAAACAGCCCAGAAGTCTCTCTTTTGTAAGGAAGAAAAGGAAAAATCCCTCAACCTCAAGCTACTTACAAATAACGTCAACAATAGAAACAGGAAACTGCCAAATCCCGCAATAATAAAACACCGGAAACTCCGGGTATTTCAGACAGTTAATAACTCTAAATTAATTTGGGACTCAAGATCCAAACCAAAAGGCATTCTATGTGCACATTTAAATATACGAAGTATCAAGTCAAAAAATGATCAAGTCCGCCACCTACTTACTGACTCTAATATTGACTTTCTATGCCTTTCTGAGACATGGCTTCATGAAACCTCACCCTCTGCAATAACATCTATACCCGGTTATAAAATGTTTCGTAAAGACAGACAGGGTTCCAAGGGAGGGGGGGTCATGATTTATGCCAAGGACTCATTTAACTGTAATGAAATTCATGTTGCAAATGAGAATGATTTAGAAATTCTTGGTTTAAATGTAACTTTGTCACAGCAAATGTCCTTCATTCTTGTTGTTATTTATAGGCCTCCTTCTTCAAATGCAGATTTTTATGAAAACCTGGACATTTTATTAAAACAACTCAACCCTGCAAAAGAACTTATAATAATGGGTGATCTAAATGTTAATTGGGAAGTCAAGCAAATCAGGAAAAACTTGAAAAAGGTTATGGATAAAATGGATATGAATCAGGTGATTAAAGGCCCTACGAGAATTACAAACACTACGAGCACTCAAATTGACTTAGCTTTTACAAACAGGCCAGAAAGGATTTTGAAATCATACAATATGCTTACTGGATTGTCTGATCACAATCTCATAATGGTAACCAGAAAACTAAATAAAAAACGTTTTAAATCTTTGCCAGCCAGAGAATCCTTTAGGATACCAAAGCAGGAACAACAAACCTTCATAGATTCAATCCATGGTGTAAATTGGGATGAATTACTCTATGGCATAAACTTGGACAAGGACTGTTCTCAATTCTCTAACAAAATACAGCAAATTATTACACAATTTACACGGAAAATTAAACTAAGAGCTAAAAAAAATGGTCTTCCCTGGTTAAATGAATCTATTTTGAAATTGATGAAAGAACGAGATCATTCCTTGAAGTTGGCTGTAAAATCAGGCTATAACAGGAATCAATTTATCTCTTTAAGAAACAGAGTAGTGAAAGAAATAAGAAAATCTAAAGCTGACTTTTTCATCACTGCTTTGAAAAGTGCACGTGGAAATTCTAAAATAACCTGGCATTATATAAAAAAATTGACAGGTGACTCCCACAAAAGTAAGACCAAACAAATGCAAATTGAATTAAATGGAGACATTTCAACAGAACCAAAAGTAATAGCTGATGCCTTTAACAATTACTTTATTGAATCTGTAGCAGAAATCTCTAAGAACTTTACAGTAAAACAAAAAAAAGAATACTCATTGTCTGCTACACAGTCTTTTTTCATAACAAACATCACTGAGACCAAAGTCATTAACATAATTAAAACCCTCAAACCATCTAAGGCCAGGGATGTCTTTGGAATGGATACAAACATGCTTAAAGATTCAGGATCCGCTCTGGCTACTCCCATTGCTTCCATCATTAATCTCTCAACTTCCAGTGGTCACTTTCCAAAGGCCTGGAAATCTGCTATTGTTACACCAGTTTATAAATCTGGTGTTCCAACCTCTCTGAATAACTACCGACCCATAAGCATTCTTCCGACCATTTCCAAAGTTGCAGAAAAATGGGTGGCTGAGCAGGTTGTCCAGTATTTAAACAATAGCTCCCCCTCTTTTCACGCCATGCAGTTTGGTTTCAGATCCAAACACTCCACTGAAACGGCTACATGCCTTTTTATTGAGAAAATAAAATCTTCTCTTGACAAGGGTGGAGTAGTAGGGACGGTATTCTTGGATCTCAGGAAAGCTTTTGACACAGTTAACCACTCTGTTCTCCTTACTAAGCTCTCACAGTTTAATTTCTCTCGTGACACTGTGAGTTGGTTTGAATCTTACCTGCATGATCGTACACAATCTGTATTAATTAACAACAGCAAGTCTGAGTCTCTTAGGCTAACCACCGGGGTTCCTCAGGGCTCAATATTAGGCCCCCTCTTATTTAGCCTTTATATTAATGATCTACCAACTGTCTGCTCTGAAGTTGAATGTTTGATGTATGCAGATGACACTGTTTTATTTGTTCACGGTCGCTCAAAGGACATTGTTGCTGCTAAACTCACTAAAGCAATGAATCTTATCACATCCTGGCTGCAGGAGAACTGCCTGCAGCTAAATATTTCAAAAACTGTAGGTATGTTTTTCAGTAAAGCCAATAGAGCCTCATTTAATCCTGACATACTAGTTGCTGGAAAAAAATTACAAATTGTAAATCAATACAAATATCTTGGGTTAGTAATCGACTCACACCTCTCCTTTAAAGCCCATATTGACAAATTATGCAAAAATATAAAATTTAATCTTGCAAATTTCCGCTCAATCCGTAATGAAATGTCAATCGAAGCTGCAATAATTTTTCTACATTCCATGATTCTCAGCCACTTTAACTACTGCCTAATAAGTTGGTCTCAGGCAAGTCAGAGCGCCAAAAGCCCTTTGGAAACATTATACAAACAAGCCATTAAAGTCATGGACAAAAAACCAAGACACTATCATCACTGTACAATTCTTAAAAAGTACAGCCTTTTAAACTGGGACAGTCTCCATAGATTTGCAGATCTGAGTCTCATATACAAAGTAATACATAATTTAGCCCCAGCTCCACTGGCAGAGTTCATCAGCCAAAGAAACAGCTCTGAGCGTGTCACTCGAGGCTCTGTAAGAGGCGACTGTGTAATCCCTCTGCGCAGGAGTGCTTTCAGTCGCTCGGCCTGGTCAGTGAGGGGCGCCGTTGAGTGGAACTCAATGCCTGAGGAGGTTAGACAGCTCACCACTTACAAGGCCTTTACGAAAAAATTGAAAAATAGGTACATTAACATGTACGTCTGCCAACATTAAAAGCTGAGCATGTTATGCTGTATTGTATATCTAACGTATCCTTTTAAACAAGTGTTTTTGTGTGTTTTTATATTGCAATCAGGTACTGTGTGCCTTTAGTTATTATACAGTGTCATTTATATTTTATTTGTTGTTATTGATGTGTCAAAGAATTGTAATGTTTTATCATGCTTGTATTTTAATGCCTTTTTACATCTTGGCCAGGGGACTACAGATGAAAAATAGCCTTCTGGCTAATTCTGGCTTTTTTAACCATGTTTGTTCATGTGTTACATGAAATTGCACTGTCCCCTTTCAAATAAACCAATCTAATCTAATCTAACCTTACGTTGAGATAGTATAATTGAAATATACCCCCAAAGAGGAGCTAAGGGCATAAGCTCTGTGTGCTGTTTGCTCTGGTCCCAATTTCAAAAAATACATTTTCTTTCATGAAAAAATAATCCTGGATCCACAAACTGAATTCTGAAATAAAGGTTTTATATTTTAGTAGATAAAAATATACTTTTGAAAGAGCATCTGTATAATAATTATGGAATCCATAATTCCACAGACCTACAATTATTATGAAGTAATGTGATTAGACTATTTTGTGGGTTCCAGGACTCATATATAACATGGACAAATTGACTTTTAAGGACTTTTTAAGTTAGATCTCAGCAAGAGCACAGAAAGCGTAACATTGTTTTTACAAATCACATTTCGCCTTGGTTCATCTTGTAAATGAGTTACCTTAAATGTAATAAATATGGTACATTAAATAAATTGTGTCAAGAGTTTACAACGGCATTCTATAGACATGCGGACGGAAGCTTTCGCGTTATTTATGCGGCATTTGGACCTTTACGTCACCACCAGAGCGTAACAAAATAATAAAATAACTTCAGGCTATCATAGGCCCAACAACAAAAGAGCTTTAGGCTATAAATACATCCACATAAGGTAAGCTCACAAGCCATTGGGGGGTTATTATTGCATTGCCCGGTATAAACTCCATTACTACAACCGACTGCAGAACAACACGTGCAGAGCGTCAGCTGTAGTTTTCCGCTGTAGTAGTTTTCCATCCTGACGCTCATCAGCTGACTGTCTTTGTGAATGGAAGAGGCTCTGTGAAGGACACAAGCAGCTGCTCTCACACTGAGGCCTTTGCGTAGCTCCGGAATAAAGCCACTGGCCTCCGCCTCGCATACAAATACAAATACAAATACAATAATAATGCTCTGACCGTGGATGTATTATACTCTCTGACTGACCCCTAACCCGTTCTCTGACCACAGTAGTGTGTATGCCTATGGCCTAGAGATCCATGGTGAAGGCTGGCCACGAGCACGTAGCCCGTCTGTGCGTAAGTCATGACGTAATGACGTAACAGGAGGAGGAGGAGGTCATAAAGAGCCTCACGCTTGCTTTCATTCACGTTTCGTTCTCGTCTTGTAAAGTTCCAAAGTTACATCTATATTTGTGACTATTTGGATTTCTGCTCTTTGAGTAGCAACCACCGCTGTCTAATCCTTCACGGGAAGAAAGACTGAGGAAAAATGAAATACATCATTGGAATTGGCGGGTAAGTCTATTCTAAACTCTTTATTAAATATTTGTGTATATTAAAGCTGTTCTATAGTATTCTGTGTTTATTTGGTGGCGAGAATTTATTTTACCATTGAAATACCATTGAAATTTAAATATATGTAGTATATAAGTATCTTCATTTTCATTGCTGCCCTATCATTATGACCAAATATAGTATTGTGTTAGTGTAATATTTTAAAGTCCAGTGTTATAAATGTATCGCTGTTGCCGCCACAGTCAGTAATAACGTGTGACTAGTGTTGTCTGTGACTAGTGTTGACATCAGTCAAGCGGGACATTTGAAACCCCCGCGTGCATGCTCAGAAGTGGAGGGAAATGTGCTCAGACTGTTAACTCTGTTAACTCTGAATAATGACATTACTATTACACATTATCATTACATAGTATTTACTATATACTTCCACAAAGGGTTTATCAATGAATTTCATTTCATACAATTTACAGCAAGGTTTCTTGGTTGAACTTGCATTACCCTCTAATGCAGCATGAATAATTAATATAGTAGTTTATAGTATTATAGTAGTTTATTCTTCATTAAGAATCATCAACAAGATTTAATCATCTCCTTATACTTGTTTTTCTCATCACAGGGTGACTAATGGTGGTAAAACCACTTTGACAAATAAACTGATTAAGACTTTGCCCAACTGCTGTGTTGTGCATCAAGATGACTTTTACAAGGTGAGTTGTGAGGTTTTTTCAATTAAGTTTTTTTCCCTTAAGGATTTATGATACACTCAACTCCCCTATTCCCACTACTTCGAATGTCAAGCATGCTCTTTTTGTGATGTAGATGTGTTATATATCAGTCATCCCTGCATTCTCCGTTTCAATCTAATATTAGATTCAATTAACATTTCACCATGTTTGTCTGTCTTTGCCTTGCATCCTTTCTGTCTGTGGCATCTTCCTGGCATGTGCTCTGCAAGTGTTCTGACTCCAAAGGAGATACCGATGTTTTATTAGTGACTGTTATTTCAGAAACCTGATCAGATAGAAGTTGGTCACGATGGCTTTAAACAGTGGGATGGTAAGACTTCACTAGACACTGTTTTGGTCTTTGTTAACACTTCACAGTGTAACCAAAAGACACACTGCACATAGACACATATGAATCAACTAAATAATAATTAAATATGTGCTTTGTGTGTATTTCTTATTGCCTTTTAGTGATCACTGCTCTGGATATGGAGGCCATGACCAACACTGTCAAAGCCTGGATGGAGAACCCTGTGAAGTTTGCCCGGTCCCACGGTGTCTCTTTGGCTCCCGCAGCACAAGTGGTTGACCCAGATCAGCAAATTCACATCCTAATTGTGGAGGGATTTCTCCTCTATAACTATGCGTAAGTTAATATTATAGCAATAAGAATTCTCCAGAGGTCCTCACTCAAAACAACAAGACTGCTGTATTCTTTCACTTTCTCTAACTCCAGAGAAGTTCAACTAACAGTTCCACACATGGACTCTTTACTCTTTCATGTTATGTTGCTTACAAACCCTTCTGAAACATAGCCTTCTTGGTGGATGCCTTGAACTTGTTAATCACTTTACACTTAATTGATGTTGTGACATGCAACAATGAAGCTCATTCCCTCGCTCACCAGATTCATACTGCATGTTTGAGTTCCTTCTATTATTCATTTTTAATGAATAAATTATAACAGATTAAAATGATTATTTGAATTGAAATAATAATTTAAGTAATGGTTATCTTTACAAATACAATAATGTTTAATAATGGGATTGTGTTAATTGAATGACAACACAAATAATCCATAATTTGAGTTATACATTGATGCTCAACCCATGTTTATGCAGCTCATTATATATCTTTTTTTTTTTCAGATAAATGTTCTTATAATTTTGGGACAAAGCATCTGTTTAATTCTGTTTGGTCTTGAAACCTCCTCTGACCTTGCGTCTAAATTCTTGAAAGGAACATAGCGTAGGTGGTGCGTCTCCATAATTAGTCACATGTTTATTTCCCTGTTCAGTGATTGGCTTGTAGACAGTCATTTCTGCTTCTGTAGCTGTAGATAAGTGTTCAGCAGAAAGGAGCCCTGTGGCTGCACAGGTAAAGATAACACACTGTCCTGTTACGTTTAGGGACATGAGCATGTCCCTAAACGTAAGTGTCACTTTGGGGACAAGATTTTCTCGCTTTAGGAGGGAAATTTCATTTTCTATTTGAGGCACGATCACACATAGTAGGAACCAGGCACTGCATCCACTAACTGGGATCTGCAGTAAACCAAAAAGTATTTAAATATATGCATTTAAATGTCATTAATGTTGTGCTTATTTTTTGTCATTTGTCTCTTGCGTTTCAGTGCAGATTGCAATTTTAGGTGAAAGACAGAAATATTGCAATAATATCGAAATACTAAACACTCATTGAATATTTCCAATAACGTGCAACCCTACTGTGTACTAATTTTTATGACAATATTTTATGTATGTAGCCACTTCAACAATATACAAATTATGCAAACTTGCAATATTTACTATTTGTTATTATAGTAATAATAATAATTACCGATATAATGTGGGACATTATATCGATGATGATATTAAAGGGGGACCTGGTTGATCTGACCATATAAGGATGTGTATCATTTAATTCTTGATTATGAAAGTGATTGGTCCTTGTCACATGTTTAGGCCTCTGTTGGACGTATTCAGCAAGTGCTATTACATCACCATACCCTACGAGCAGTGCAAGATGAGAAGAAGGTAAGAAAAAATAATGTTGCCTCTATCGTGAGACATATTTTTAAAACTTTTGTTATCTTGTTTCTTATGTGTGTTTGTTAATTTTTAGTACAAGACAATACACTGTGCCAGACCCTCCAGGCCTTTTTGACGGACACGTGTGGCCCATGTATCTGAAGCACAGGAAAGAGATGGAGGACTGCAGCTTAGATATTGGTAAGAGGGTTTTTTTGAGATGGAGTTGCAGATACTGGTCTCCATGGATCATTTCATATGTATCTAGTTTTGAATGCTTCCTCTATTCTAGCAAACTTGACATGACTTACTGTAGATGTACTTTCCGTTATGAATGAATTATATTGTGTTCATGTTTGTTACAATCTGTACATTGTATTTACAGAGTATTTGGATGGTTTGAAAACAAAAGAGGAGATCTACAATCAAGTGTATGAAGACATTCAGAACAACCTCCTCAACTGTTTATAGGTATTTATTGTTTATTATGGTGTTTGTACTTTAGCATGTGCATTGGAAGTAACTGGATGTTTTCTTCATTACAGCATACGGATGGCAAGTCTCCATCTTATGTACAGGGTGTAAATACTTGGTGTTTTTAATTATTTTTTTCATACCTTGTAAATAGAGTAAGCAATGTTAACTTATCACAGTTTGTTTTTAGCCTATTTATAGACTTCTCAAACTCATTCGTGACCATTGCATTTTTTCTAATGTTTTACTTTGAAATGCTTTTTCAATAAATACAAAACTAAATCTTTGTTGACTCTACTACACACCACAAATGAGTGCATTAAAAGTTCTATTACTTAGGATAATTAGAGGAAAGGTTGAAAGAAACTCCTTGCTAGGGAAAGAGTGCTTATAATTTTAGTATTTACAGGTGTAACTTCCACTATGTCCTTGCTGCAAGTGCATGCTTATAAACAGCTCTTGACTATTTTGAGATTCAGGTCATTGAAAGTGAATTTGCATTGTAGCTTTCAAAGCTCAACCTTGTGCTTTAACCTATAAATAGGTCAAAGTAATTTTCTAATTGTTAGGGAGTACATCCGTTCACTTCTAAGTAAAGCATAGGTCAGGTTGGTCTATATTTTCTGGAAATTCAGTTCACAAGCTTTGTACTATTATTAAATAGGACAGTGGTGAAACTGTTTGACTTAAGTATTACATTTTGAAATTTATGGAAGTTTGAACAAATGACTACACTAAACTTCATCTATTGTAAACGTGTGCTTGCCTCTCCACAAACCCTAACTTCACCATGTGAAGTACACAGATTGTCTTCTCAGCTGGTGTGCGATTGCAGTTATGTACAGTATATTGATATTATTATTAAGGCTATTCTCAAGGGGGTTAAAGATAAATAAGATCAATTCACCCTGAATTAAGTATACATATATACAGGCTGCATAGAGAATAAATATACAGCCATCATAATCTGTGTATAAGGAAATAAGCTTTTGTTACTAAGAATACGGTCCTATTTGGACCTGGAGGTGTGCTAGTGCTGCTGATGTTGTTGCCCACGAGATAACACTTTCACTTGTATATGACAAGTGAAAGACAGGCCAGGTCACAGCCTGATCTCAAGGGCTCCTCTTCCTCGCTCTCTCGTCACACTGAATTTTAACAGCTCTGAATACTTACTGAGTTTACTCAGCTGTTGCACTTTTACAACATTAAGGCAAGTTATTAATGTAAATTGAAGGATTTGATGAACCGAAAGACCTCTCTGTAGGTTACTCCAAGGTGTTTATTCACAGTGCCATTTGGAAATACTGAGATTCAGAGGATGCAAAGATCACTTCAAAAGAAATTCCGAATATGCCTTTTTCTTAGTCCATTGTTATTCATTTGCATTTCAGTTTGTGTCATTTAAATTACTCGAAGAATAAGGCCAGTGCGAGGGAGTCAGTGCAAAGTGAATGACTGTATGAATTGTAGTGGGTGTTTAACGCCACCGTGTGGTATTAAGTCAGAGCTGCAATATTTGGCTCTAAACGCGCTCTCTCTTTTCTTTCTCTCTCTCCCCTCCGTGGAGTGACCTGTGCGTAACGGTGTGTCCGAAGTGAACATAACTCCTCATGCCAGACAGTGCGGCTTCACCCGTGGTCTCTTCACATTATAGAGTCATGGAGAAGTTAATAATTGTGCTCGTCTGCCTTCTTGACTGTATGGTGCAGATGGGAGGAGGCCAGGAGTCACATTTACGCGCCAGGGGACCGTGGAGACACCGGTTCCAATGGGAGAGTAACGGGCACGTGTACAGTTTATTGAGCACGGGGACACAGTACCGCTCACCTCGACAGGACAGAAAGCGCACCCAGATGCTGCTGACCACAAAGAGTAACCGCAACGCGCCTCTCACACCCAGACCCAGGCTGGAAGCGCGCAATGAGCAAATGGCCACTTCTGCTCTGGTACCTGATGCTGGTCCGTATATTCTCATCTCTGGACAATCCGCACAGCTCACGGGAGAGCAACAACCAACCTCAAGTTCTGTGCAGGACTTTTCAGGCGGTGGGGTCCTGCGTGGAGGTCGCAGTACACCTGTTGAAGACACAGCTGTACATCAGACCTCAGTCCTCCCGGTCAGCTCAGTGGACACTGTGCTCAGACCTGGAACCAGTGAACAGACCGCAGATCTACAAAGTCCGCCAACTCAAAGTGTAGAAGCGGAGACCAATGTGTCAAACGCAGTGGAGATCCATTTCCCCCGTCTGAGACAAGAGGCAGTGGCGCACACGGGCACAGGGCATCCGCCAGACATATCAGCCCACTCCGAAGACCGCAACTCCGTCTTCTATAATGCAAATCCACCGACCCGCAGAACCAGCCATCCGTCGAGAATGCCCGCCCCAGGGACTGGATATGGGACCAGATTCTTCCACAGTGGTGAGATGTTGGCCTATGGGCTAGCGAGCACGTCCGCCTAAGCAATATTTATTTACTTTTCTCCAATTCCATAATGATGGAAATACAGCTATATAATCTATAGGATTTTTTAAATTTAATCTATATTTATATTAAGGTTAGACTTAAGCTGAAACTTTATAAATCAAATATATATTCATTATGTAATAATATAAAAGGACAGATTTTATACGCTACAAATAAATAAAAACAAATTTGGCGAATTGATTAAATGATGGTATTAGTAGACTAGTTAAAATAATAAATATTAAAATCCCATATCCATCCATTTTCTGTGAGTACAATTTACAATGTAGCATAGAAATAATAATAATATTATTCTACATTTACTGGTTAGGAATACATTTGTTTTGTATTCTTTCCAGGTTTGCCTGATTTGGTTCCAGACCCATACTACATCCAGTCGTCCTCTTACATCCACAGAATGCAGATGTATGCGCTGCGCTGTGCAGCTGAAGAGAACTGTCTCTCAAGGTACTTTTTTTGTTTTGTTTTTCTCCCCTTGCCATAGTCCAGTTTGCTGACGAGCAATAACCATTTTAAGTCCTCCAACCAAAAAGGCAAAGGATTCTTGAGGTGAAAGTCAAACTTTAAACTTCTATCATAAATCTTTATTATCACTATGACACAGACGGAATGTTTTTGTGTGCTGAGGAACATTTAGTTAAACACACAAGACAAAAGTGAATTCCAAGGAGATCTAGTTGTGTTTTCTTGTGACACTTACGCCTCTACATCTCTTCATTGCTATCTTCAGCTCTGCGTATCGCCCTGGTGTCAGTGACCTGGAGTACAGGGTCTTATTGAGATTCCCACAACGAGTGAAGAACCAGGGGACTGCAGACTTCCTCCCACTGAGACCCAGACACCAGTGGGAATGGCACAGCTGTCACCAGTAAATATTATATGTTATTAACCATTTGGAAGAACAACAGGTTTACATCCTTCTGCTTTAAGGCACTATCACAGCATGGAAGCCTTTAGTACCTATGACCTACTGGATGTCGCCACTGGACTGCAAGTGGCTCAAGGGCATAAGGCCAGTTTCTGTCTTGAAGATACCACATGTGACCCAGGAGTAAGGCGACGCTATGCCTGCACCGCACATACACAGGTATAAACGTATAAACTCAATTGATTAGTTGGCCAAATGGTTATAGGATCAATAGATGTTTGGATCACAAAATCCTGTAAAGATGGGATTTTTAAATAGGTACAACAAAAACCTCTTCTTGAACCTGACTCTCGCAAGATCCTTGCAGTTCGCTGAGCTTCCCACAAGGATCTGGGATTTCACTTCTTACATGCAAGACAAACTATGACTGTATATAAATGTGTAATTTTGCACAGGGGCTTGGTCCAGGTTGCTATGACACATACCACGCCAATATAGACTGCCAGTGGATTGACATAACTGATGTGCTCCCAGGAAACTACATTCTTAAGGTGTGTTGTGCATAATAACTAAACACATTAGAATGCATGTACAAGTAATGTTGTGATTGCATGTAGGTGACAGTAAACCCCTCCCATCTGGTTGAAGAGTCAGATTTCTCCAATAACGTGGTCCAGTGTGACGTCAGATACACAGGGAGCTACGTTCAAACCAGAAACTGCAGGATCACTGTGTAAGACTCCAGCTTTAACAACACAGATGCTTCACTTTTCAAATGCCATTGCCTTGTTTTACAGAAGCTGATTGGTATGACGAGCGACGACATGTAGGCCTTTTTCGGTGTGGATGTATTTTTATATGTATTACATGAACAGTACATGAAGAGTGATAATGTATTTCACAAAATGTGATAATATTGTATAAGATGACTCATGTTTTGATCATGGTTCATCCACAATCATAGTCTTTAACACAGTTCAATATTCAAGCTGTAATTGTCTTTCACAATAAACTGAATCCAAATCTCAACAGCAGAGAGAGAGTACAGATTGACAATAAATCCAGGTTCTGGGTGAAGCTGAGAGTATTGTGTTCCTGGTTCATCATTAAAGACTGGTAGTTGATGGTAGAATCAGATCACTATAGAAACTCTATTTTGTTTACTGTATTATACAGTGCGTTCCATTGTCTGTGTTTAGTATTTATATTCAATCTTGTTTACAATTAAGTTTATCTGTGCTTATTTCACATAGTAGTTTAACGTTTACAATAATGAATTGATTTATGCTACTAGACATTTCTAAAGCACATAGTGAGAATGAATATATTCTGATTCTGATGGTATTTGCTTCGTGCAACAGCTAAAGTTGTGAACTGATACATACATTAAAAGACGGTATGTTCAATCATACTGACAATACTAATAGTCTATATATTTGTAATGCAGGAATCTTGAATTGCTACATTTATAAACAAGAATACAGCTAGATGGTGAGGTAATGGAGAAGACAGTTTTTTCTTCATCCTTATGTCCAACTAGACTTAACATGGCTCAGCCCCACATGGACCACAGGGTGGAAAACAGATGTGGATGAAACATGGACAATTATATACATACTGTAATTCCCAGCTCGGACTGACACAGACTGATATGACTGCTGTGTAGCATTTATTCCCTTTGTCAAACACTCTTAGGTCATCATTTCATATAACAGCAGTCCTCCAGCTGTTGTTTGCAGTGGACTCAGCTTGGAAACTCATGGGACACAGTGGTCCTGTGGACAGTGACGTGAAGGAGAGAAATTCCACAGATTCACAGACGGCCTGGAAAACCTGACGATGAGCTGCTGACATCAGCTATGCCAGGCCAACATCAGTCTTATCATGGGCAGGGCATCATGGCAGGACTGGTCAACTTTAGCGTTTGAGCCAAAAGGCCAAACTATGAGAGCACACAGTCAGTTCCTGCTGCAGACTCAACTGCAGAATAATTTCACATGGACCTGTTCAACTGGTAGAGCACAATCATGTTATAGGTCTACACAGTGTTAGAGCATCAGCTACTATCAAGAATAGAAAACTGTAATTTCTACAAAATAAGATATTTCAGATTTAAAACATTTCTCCTCAACGCTTAAGTTTTAAACATACCAAATCTCGACCTGTGCAAATAGTGTAAGTGTGAGTGAGTGAGTGCCATTGTGCTTTGTAATTATTGCACTTTTAAAAAGTAGTTGTTTGATATATAGCTATGCCTGAATTAATGCATTGTCCCTGTCAAATAAAAACATAATTTGACTAAATAAATGTTTGAGATATGTCTATGTGTGTATAATCAATAGCATTCTGAAGAAGCACTGATGGCTATGATGGTTGCTTCACTGAGCAAAACCTCATTTGTGTCTGATGACTTGTTTAGGAAAGAGCCTGTTAATGTGTCATGAGTGAAGGAGATTTCTTCATTAAGTGTCTGCCACACAAACCTGGAGCTCATTTACCTGGCAGGATGACTCCCATTTCCCTTTGGAATAAAGAGGATGTGTTCGTGTTGCATGCTATAAAAGTAAATTGACTTTTCTGAGCTAAATGAGAACAGGGCAGACAGTTTTTTCCACTAAGACTTGTTTGGTTTGAATGTGCATATGGTTTTACAGGTTTCACACAAATGTGTCAGACATTTTACCAAACATCTGCCAACATGTCATGAGGAGGACACTGCTGCCCCAGACATACGGTGTATAAACAGCAGGACATAAACAGATGGAGACACTGCGTACTCTGTTCTTCACATTATGACTGTATGGTCAAAAAGTACAGACTCTATGGATAAGGCTAAGACACAAGTGTGCACACTTAAATTATGCATGACAGTGAGTGAAGAAAGAAAAGTCTTCCTATGTTACATGACCGCGACCCACGAAAAGAAGTAAATATGAACATGGTAATACGGTAACCGGAAAACGTGATGTGGGTGTAAGCAGCCAGACAGTGGGACACAGATAAAACAAAATCTGTTAGAATAAAACTAGTAAATGTTAAATATATATTATATTTTATTCAAGATTAGAGCTCTAGTTGGGAAAAATAACGCCCCTTCCCCCGCGTCAATTACGTCATAATTACTCGACAAACTACACATTCGGCACCGGTGCTTTTGAGCTGCATAACCCATGGATGTATAAAGGAGAACTCAACCATGTTTTGGACTGTGAAGTGCTCAGTTTCGTTTGCGGTGTTATTGGTTATAGTTCTATCTATAAGTGAGGCTGCTTCGGACCGAACAAAAACGGTGGAGTTGAACGTGAAACCAGGAGGAGTGGTGCACACTTTCACAGAAGGCATTGTGAGTTGTCCTTTTTGATTATTGTATTACCCACATTGTTTTTGTTTGCTCAATAAAACTCCAGTGAACAATACATTTAACGTTCACCAACCGATACAGATTCACATAATACAATGATATGACTTTACTTCAGTTTGTCGCATAATGATGACCGTGCAGCCTGTGAGCGCTGGACACGTCGCTGTCTGTCACAACAATCCTTCCATTCATTGGCGGATGATCTTTATTAATATGAATAACCACAACAATAATAATCTAGCTCTTACCTAACGCGTGTATCATGTATTGTTCAATTGTTTTGTCAAACCACAGGGCAAATACGAATGCTCATTCACATACGCTGCACAAGGGGGGACTAATGAGGTCAGTTTCACTTTGACTTTCGCACATCTTTGCCTTAAACTTTATTAATTCGCCCAATGACAATTAACCCCGTATTTTTCCCTCAAACAGGATTGGCTGATGAGTGTTGGACTTAGTGACGATGACAGACTATTTTCTTGCTCTTTGTGGAGGTAAGTGTTACTACATAGGCAAAAGCTTACATTTGTACACCATTGCTTGGTCCTTGGACGCTTTGAAAGGCGCTTTCAAATAAAATGTATTATTATTGCAATTTATTTAAATGTATTTGTTTGTCTAAATATGAGCAAAATCAAACTGTCAGATGAGTGAAATTGTTGATGATTTGTTTATTTTCTGCCAGGCCACAGGGGAAGTCATACCTGTTTTTTACTCAGTTCAAAGCTGAGCTGAAGGGAACCAAAATTGAATACGCCAATGCATATGTAAGTAAAATGAGTGAATACAGATTCATTGTCATTATTGCTCTGTAAACCTGTCCAAAGAGAAACAGAATTTTGTGATGCATGCTTCTTTGAACACACATGCGCATTATACAGTCCTAGTGAAAAATGTATGACCACTTTTACATGGTTTGATCTTAACATGGTTCCAAGTAAATATATATGCAGAAAGACAAAACATTTGTGAGACAAAAAAATGAGAAGCAATGAATTTATTAAACTTCATCACTTGGGAGAGACGTTTCCACACACATCCTGGACATTTGCATCAATTCAGATTTGCATTTGCAGTTTACATCAAGATTGAACTACTTGCCAGAGACAACAATATGAAAACTTTGAACTCTGAATTTCCCTGTTCAAAGTTCTCTATTGAAGCCAAAAAGTTTGAGTGTTGGGCGGCTTTGAAACCAATGATAATGACATTAGTAAATGTGTGTAGATGTAGGAAAATGTGCTTTGTGTCAATTCCCATTTCACACTATTGGCAAGTTTGTTGTTTTTATTATTATTAACAATAATTACTACTACAGGTATTAACAGGATAGCGTTGATGGTAGTTTATAGAGAGGCGGCTTCTCTTTTGCATGTCTTATTATACAACATTTTATAAATCGTCTTGTAGGCACATTTCAATTCAACGAGCAGACCCAATAGTCCTGAGAAAACATGACTTCTTTGACATCTGTATAGATGGACGTTTCTGAACCAAGGGTACGAAGGCACAGGGAAGTGCAGGGGCTTTGTTTTTTGAATAGTGTTTGAACATACTAGGTTGTACGTAATATCTTTTAGACTGTCTTAATGTTTCTGTTGACTACGAGTGTGCAACAATGCCTAAATAATAATACATGACAAACTATGTTTGCCCGATTATTCACGATGCAGAGAAAACATCTGTTGAAAAGACAGTTGTGCGTTTTAGTTGTATGATATCAAATTCATGTAATTCATCTTCTAAGCTGTTCGAAGTGGTCATCTTTGGAGTAAATCACACATTGACACGCCTCCTTTCCCCAGCAAGGACAGAGCAGGCACTTTGTCATTAGACAGAGTATATTTCCTCTTGCAGCACTGGCTCTGGGCCCTGGAACAAAATGCGAACACACACAGAATAACTTGGTAAATGATGATGACAAAAATATGCCTTCATGCACAAACACACCTGCCACCCCCGCACACAATCTCCTTGACCTTGTCTCATCCTCCTGCTTCACGAACCGTCTGTTGCTATGTCTCCTGCCTCTGCTGCGTCCTCTCCCTGCTCTACTCTTGCTTTTCATAACGGCTGCTTTATGTGTCTAGTCACAGACAGGACACCGTGACGTGCCGCTGAGGGCCGATGAGTTTACTGTCGGCGAATCCACAGGTGAGAGAAAACAGACTTATCTTTTCTGTGAATCACTTAATCTGCCGTCTTCATCACTCTGTGAAAGGTTCCACTAGGGTTAGGATTACCCTAACCCCCAATAAATTGTTTTTTCGTCACACAAAAAACCCTCACACCAGACTTGTTTAACTCGTTATGATATTTCTACCTCATAGGACTGCTGTAATGCTCCACAAGGAGGAGCTGTTCAGCTATAGCTCACAAATATCAACCTGGGCTGACTTGTCTGTGATAGAAGTTTGGTTTGTGTAATTCATGGTATTCTGTTTCTGAAAATGGTGCTGCTGTAGTTTACTGTTTGAATGGATTTGGAATGGAATTTTAGTAAATCTTAAAGTAAAATGTAATTTATATGGAACATAATATGGGAACATTGTTATTACATACTTCACATCAGGGGTCTCAAACCGCAACGAGGTCATTTGTGCCCCCTTCTGGACATCAAAACCCAATCATTTAGCACTAGCAGGGAAGAACTTTAAATCAGTTGGATGAAAAAGTTGTATATTCTACTCGAAAAATGTTCTTGATATACACAGGATTTGTTTATTGACTATTATTTAACAACTCTGAGCAATGTGTTTGTTTTCTTCTAACTCACTGTTTCATGCATCTTGCAGTTTAATGTACAAGCGTACGCTTGTGTGCAATAAATCTAAGAATTAATCATTGGAAAACTGGTTTAAATAAATTCGTTTTTATAAAAAAAAATGATTTCACTAAAGTTCCTGATCTAACTGGAAAGTACCTGCCCTTTTCCCAAGTTCCTATTATGTGCGAACACTCCCAAAATATTAATAACAACCGAACAAGTGAAAAAGGTGGCATTATCCATAGTTTTCATTCAATATTTGTAGTTGTACATTTTGTTTTGAAATATATACTATTTTAATATATAAATATATATATATATTAAAATAAATCTCATATCCTATTTCTGTCTTACATTTCTCAAAATACTTTTATAAAATCCAACATTGTTTTTATCTTCCTCACAGCTTTGCGAGAAGAAATGTACATGTTCATATACAGTAATGTATTTTAACACTTTCAAACGTGACTGTTAGGGTACATGTACTTTGCACCTGGATTCATTAATATGCGGAAAAGTCTCACCCAGATTGAAACTCGGGTAAATTTAGTTTAAAGCCAGTTTTACATGGACCTTCATATTAGAATCACCTGGCTCCATATATATTCTTGCTACTATTTTTGAAGCCCACAATGCAGGTTGGACTCTGTCTAAAAAAAAAAACCTGCTACAGCTGCAGCTTTGCAACAGGATGACACCGGCTAGTCGCACCTTCCTCCCATAAAGCTGCTTTAATTTTGAACTGAACTAATTCACACTCTTGTCTCTCGTTTCCAGTGGTCCAGACTGATGGAAAGTTCAATGCCCAGCTCTCAAAGCTCACTGTGATTGGACGAACACGTCATGATGAGCTTTAATTGGTCAAAAGGAAGTCTGCGCTTCAATCGCACAGGACCAGAGTTTGAGCCCAGAAATTGATGGAGTCCGTGCTACTGACACTTCCAATGGATATTGCTGTAAAACATGGCGTTTCTCCGACAGCAATGCATTTTGTTACAATTATAACATGCTGTTTCTACTAGAATTGTCTTATCTGCAAATGAGCACATCTAGACTTCATATTTCTTCATCTTTCTAATACATGATTTTGAGGCGTTTCTTAATTATCCACTGCGACTTTATGGTTAATGGCCAGTACATAGAGGCATGGGATTGGGGGTTTCAAGAGTATAGATTACATATTTGGAGTAGGCCAGGATTTATCATCTGGTTTGTAATCCTGAGAGGAAAGTGAATAATCCCTAATATCAACGTGCACACACACACACACACTTTGTTCTGAGCTGCTATTAAGTCTTTCTTCCTTCTGTTTCTATGGATCTGTTCTACATAGCTCTTAAGCATCACATATGATCGCAAGGAATACAGCATCGTTGAACCAAATTCAGATAATCTTAAATTATTAACTATTACATAATAAAACTGCACATTTTGTATTCATATATTCCCTTTTTGTCGCAGGTTCTTTTCTAATTGTAATACCTACATAATGTACTATTTGAAGCTGTGAACTAAAAATTCATTCAGAAGAGTGGGTTTGCACCGCCAGGCGGTGAACAAGGCGTAAAGATACCCTGAAGCTTTTATCCTGCAGTGCCACTCGTGTAGATCAGCAGGGAGATCGGCCAACTTTCTGAAGTAGCTCGTTATCATAGGTCCCTGCCAAGACAGAAAGAACTTTTCTTTTGTAAAGAACGGCCTTCATCTCACTCCCATTGATCCAACCAGCATCCAGAGGATAAAGTTCTGCCATTGATTTCAGATTGAGGGATTGTGCTTGAGATGGTGACATGCAGTTTATACCTTGTTAGTCCGACAGTGTGTCACATGTGATCCTCTTGGGGTCAGGAAGTACTCTGCAGGGCGTTCAGTCCCTTTGTCCTCGGCAGGCCTCCGTTTGTGTCAGCAACAGGAACTAGCTACTTCCATATGCTGACCTAGAAAACAAAACGGAACGATAAGTCGCTTATTTTGCAGTGGTTATATTTCCTACTTCCTGAATAGATTCACAATGAACTTTGTTTGGTATTTAATAAAGACCTAACAGATTAATTTGGTATTTTTCCATTTTTAACAAGATAAAGTAAGAAATATAAATATTAATCTGCTGTGCTCAGATAGAATTTGACACAAGCCTTTTTATGCTCCTTGCCACATCTGCCTACAATACTAATCATTTTAGAACTGACACTAATGTACCCTGAATACAAGATGGTTTTCTTCACAGTAGGAATGGTCTGAATACAAATTGGACTTGACGCAAACATAATTTTAACAAGGCACTTTGTTGAAAGAATATTCTTTTTGCATACCAAATAAACAGTCTACTGAAATAAAAGTTTGATAAAGACTCTCTACTGTTATGTCTAAATTTCCCGGAAGGAGAGGGCTTTGCAGGAGCTTCTAAATCCACAGGCACATATGGGAACATATAGACCACAGATCTATCTGGGTTTACAAAGACCTCGTGCCAACAGGGATTATTTAATCTAAAATTAAGCCTGGGGAGAAGCTGTAATCTTGATTGTCCTTTAATTGGCATCAAGTTCAAAACATTGTGATGCAACATGGAGACACATGTACTGAGACGGTGTGGCCCTAATGTTAAACAAAACTTCTCTTGTGATTCTATGTAAAAATAACTTTTTTTCATCCCTGATTCCCTTTGTTTACAGCCGTTATTAGCACCAAGACAGATTAATCCTCTACTAAAATCAATAATTCCAAACCCATGTATCGTTCATCATGTGTGACAACTTGACAGCAGTTTAAGTGCAGTTTCCTCAAGTAATAAAGTCAAACCTGGTACTTTAAATTTTGGACAAGTAAGGTTCAAAGAAAGCTGTTCTCCTGAAGGTTGACTTTAGCATTAGCATTTAATTAAAGAAATCCACAGTTCAAGCCCTATTGTTACTGATAAATGTGACAAGAACAAAGGCAGTATTATTTATTTTTTTAAATGACATTGTAAAACAGAACAGTCAGCCTTTCTGATCATTTTTAATGTTTAAGTTCGTTTATAAATAGGTCCTGTTTATCCCAACCCACTCATTTAGAAAGGAACAGATGGAGACCAGGTCAGTCAGGCCAGAGGCTGTAGAGGAGATAGGATTTCAGAAGGGGGAAAAAAAATAAATCACATTGGTCCTTATGTCCGGCTGCCCTGTTTTGAATATTATGAAGCTCACTGTTTTAAAATACATTTTAAAAAGTCATCACTATGACAGTAATTATCCACACAAGACAATGCCACAACATGAATGTCTGGTGCACCTTGTTATTAAAATGTTATAATTTTGTTCTGTCATCTGGATTCCTTTCAGGTTTCATCTAATTAGATTCTTCCCTTTGCCCTTTAACTATGGAGAATGTGGGGGGTGGTTAAAGAGCATCTGTATACAGACTCTTGTTACCGTCTGTGCAGTAGCTCGACAGATGTGATGCTTTGTGTTTGATTGGAATGCACTCTAGAGATTGTGTAAAGGAAAGTCCTGCAAAAACTCACCCTAACAGCCACCTCTGTCACCTTGGAAACTTCTGCTCGCCTCGCCAAGCCTCCACGTACTCCATACCGACTTGCAACATGGCCCCCTTATTCCCCTTTGCAATGTCTCATACTGTTGTTGAAAGCAGCCTTCTCTTTTCAGGGTAGGGGGGAGTTTTTCGAGGCTCCTTTGGTTTTGGGGGCTCATTAAGCCTATGGTGTGGATATGGAGGTGGTTTGCGTCCTTTACGACCTTGATGTCCAGATTTTGGTTTAAGTGGTAGGGTCATGTGATAGGCTCCCGGGATATGCCCAGCTGACAGTGCCCGCCGCTCCCTGTCGGATTCTGGGACAGTGGGGGGCCAAACGTTTGACACAAGAGAAGATGTGCCCGATATACGACGAATCTGTGGATTGGGGTAACATCCAGGCCTGGTGCTTGGGCTGAAAGGCGGTGGAGGTTTCCGATACGAGGGGGATTGCTGCGACATGGAAGACGATGGAATAGGGGAAGGGGACTCCTGCTGAGACACTGGGCTGTTTGGATGCTGCAAGCTGACAGTCAGAGGGGACAGTCCTGGAGTGGGAGGGCGGACAGGGAGATTCCTCAGAGGAGATATTGGGGAGACTATAGTTTGGGCCAAGTTATCCGTCTGCACTGGTGGATAATGAAGTCCACCCTTTCGGGATCCAGACTGAAGTGTTCTCGTGTGCTCATTGGATGGAGACTGGCTTGTAGTTTGTTTGTCTCTCCAGGGGCTTCCATTTTGTGTGACCCCTTGTGGCCTGTGAATGACACTTCCCACTGTCATGGCACTTGAACTGGAGCTGTTGCTGCTGCTGTGAGTTTGGCTCTCTGGCTGCTCCTCATCATTCAGATCAATTGAAGACGTTAAATAGTCGATCTGTTGTACAACCTAGAAAACGCATGTGAAGAAAACAATTAGCTTCTGCACACAGAGCTAGAGTCGGGTCTGATTATCATTAGTCATTCAAGCTACGCACTGTTTTGATGACTTCTTTTAGGGTGACATTTGCATAATTGGGCTCCTACCTAGAGCTAAAACAATTGGTACTTTTTGTTCTGCCTTTTGCTTCAATAAATTTGAATAATCCCTTATGCATGGTATTCATTATTTTTGGCCATGCACAATTATAATGAGACTATTTACTTTCAGGTTATTTAATTTGTCATTTCAAAATGTGAAATATTATCTTCAGAACAAAATGTATGGTGAAGTATCAAGGGTAAATAATGTTAACAGCTTGCCCTATTCCTATGCAACCACCTGGAGGGGTAGGATTTGTTTTTGTTTTGTCCCCAAATTCGAAAAATACCAACTGCAAACACATTTGTATTGTAAAGGACGTCAATTTCCATGAGAAATTGCCAGAACTAACTTGGGGGCAATGTCAGAGTGGTACAAAGACAACATTCAATTACAGGACTGGGACAGGAGATTTTTAGACCGAACGGGGTGCAGTTACATGTGTGTGTCAGAAGTTCCTGATATGAGCATGGATGGATCTAAAAACAACTCCAAGTCTGTTTTTTTAGGATAGTATTGTAACATGATTCAAAGCTTCGAGTAACATGCGAGTTTACATAATGTGGAATGGGAAAAAAGGTAACATTACTCCTGTTTTCAGAACAAGGTCATTATACAATTGCACTACACCGTAAACTATGTTTGTGCAACTGTTTACTAGCATTGTACACAGGAAACAATTTGGAGTTGTCTTATAAATGCACTAAATGAGCCAGCTCCACAGTACACCTACTGTCAAGCCCAAACTATAATGGGAAGTGTGCAAGCTACATTTATGTGGGTGTACTGTTCCTTACACATCCCTCTGGAGACAAAACGGGAACAGAGTACAGAGCATCACAGTTGCAGAGAACATCTAAAGACCTATTTCAATGAGTGCCATGCCTGAGTTTAAAAGTATGCCCCTATGCATACATGCCATTGAGGCAGTCCATTTACAATAATGGGAAGAGGGGAGAAAGTGATGCTGAGGAGAGTGTTTGGCCTATCTCTCCACCTGCTCTGCATGCTGATAAATCCTCTGCTGGAACAGATGAATTATTATTTTGTTCTCCATTTTCAACAACATCTTTGCTCTTATCAGAATATGACCCTGTTTTGTGGAATAGTACTTGTAATCTATTCTTTTGTGTGTAATGTGTTTTTTGAAGTTACTAAACCAAGAGTTATTCATTCAGAATGGATTAGTTTGTTTGGACAGATGCTGCTTCAGGATTCACAAGAGATAAAAAAGAACAGATGACCTCGTTGTATCTCAAGGTTGTCGATAAAACCAATGTTGTTTGACCCTGAGCCAGGTCTTTTTTGACTGTTGCAACTCGTCTGCCCTTCGATACTACAGCTATCTGTTTTGTTTTTTGGCTAAAACGTCTCCCTTTGCAGTGAGCACCGTTTGATGTGTCAAACTGCTTTAGCTGAACTTTGCAATAAATCACAAGTGTAGCATATACTTTATTCTCACACTTTGCCAGTCTTACCAGCTCTGTCTAAAATATTTTAAAGGCAACCTTCTTTTGCACCAGTGATTGGTTATTAGATAAAATCAAGGATCCCATGTAACAGAATAGTAAAAGAGTGCTTTGAACAAAATATCTGTCCGAAATCTTCCCTGACGTGTTGTTTTGCTTTGATCTGTCATCTTCCCCAACGCAAGTTTTGCTATTTTGTTTGGTGCGTGCTGGCCATTTAGGCTCTGAACACTGTCTGTCAGTTTTGTGACAAATATGGGACTGTATGTGTTGCTTTTACCAGATAAGACAGGGATACTTGAATATAAATGGATTATGACAGTACCCAGGGACACATCCAGCTGTGCCTGGAGTAGCATCTGTCCATAAGGAGTTAGTGATGAGAGGAAAAAGCACGCAGAGGCTGCTAATGTCACCATGCATAAGCTGGAAAAAGGCCACTCCAATGAAGCAGAAGTATTTTCTCTTTTAGTGCCACCAAAATGTAAACAAAATGAGACCTGTAAATGTTTGAAGGAGACTGTGGCAGACTTTTAAATGCTGACTCCTTTGAATATTCTGCTGAAGTTACATATTTCTAACCCACTTTGTTATCTTCAAATGCTAAAAGCCTCTAAGGTTTTTGAGCATAACACTTCCGCCACAAGATTAATTTACAGAGGAAAGGAGGAAATGCTCGGTTATGAGAGCTCTGAATCATCACCTCTTTCATTTCTTGTTGGACGTCTCGCAGCGCTCCCAGAACATGTTCCAGATTGTCCATAACCCGTTTGATCTGATTCCGGACCACCTTCCTCTTACTGTCCCCTGTGTTGATAGAGTTACGATTAGGTTGCAACCATGTCTGCTCCAAGTTCGTGATGTGCTCTGAGCTCGGTCGTGGTTTCCTTGGTCCTCTCAGTGTTTTGGTGCAGCCTGGTCCCCTCTCGGCGACCTGGGTGGAAAAGAGCACTCCGTTAAGGGCCCGGTCAAGCTGTGTGTCCCTCAGAGAAGTCAGATCCCTGTGGCTTTGGGAGTTCCTGGTCTGCTGGTGAATGAAGCTGAAGCTGGAGGTGAATTGGTGGCGCTTTAAGATGCTTTGAGTTTCTGGACCGACCCAGCTGGCCGAGTGGAGGTCTCTTTGACGGAAGCTACGGGTGGAATAGTCCCAGACCTTCTCCTTGTTGTCCACAAAAACACCAACAACAGGCGGAATGCTTTCAGTATCCTCGGGCACGGCTGGTGAGGCTACTACCAATGGTCCATACCTCCTCAGTGTGGTGCATCTCTGGTCACTCTGAGATGGAGCAACGGTTTTGGGGGTGCAATTGGTTTCATCGTGTTTATCTGGCACAAAACTCTTTTCCAATTCAGACCTAATGCTCACTTCTGGATCTAGCTCGGGAGACTGGGTCCACCGGGCAGGACTGTCCTCTCGCTGCTTCCCTGCAGAGAGAATGTGATGCCCTTTAAGGACCACAGGCAGCACCCTGGCTACTCCGTTGCATCCCTTCTTCTCCTTGTCCTTGCTCTGAATAGAGAAAAATCCCTTGCCTCTGAGGTGGTTGCGATGTTCAGATCCAGATTTAATTGTTCCATTGAGGTTGCTGTCATGGTTCTGGTGGCTTTTTAAACTACTACGGAGCCAGGGTAAAAAGTGTGAGCCGTGTGTCTTGAAGCCCTTGTGCTCCGCAGACCCCTTTCTGTCAGAAAACATGCTGATAGATGGAAGTCTGGTTTCTCCTCCATGTAGCTTCACCTTTTAGCGTGAACTCCAACCTTGGTCTTTTGACTTCTCCAAAACTTTTTTTCTTTCTATTAGCATCCTCTTGCTGGAAAAAATGAGCATGTTAGTTCCTTCTTTGACAAGTCCTGGTGTGGCAGATCTGGTAGATTCTAGAGTAAAGCCTAAACAGCGTTCAAAGAGAAGATGTCTCGCCTATGCATGCTGGGTCTTTCTAACTGTGCGTGCAGAGGCTTCCTTCCCTGTCTCTCTCTCTCTCTCTCCTCTGCACTGCGCTGCCTCCTACTCTCTCACTGCTCTCATTCCCTCTTATTCCTCCCCATTTCTGTCGCGTCCTGCACTCGTCCTTTCAGTCCCTGTATTGTCCCATTTGTTCGCAGCTCTGTCTTGCTCTTGGCTCTTTGAACTGCCTCTCTGCCAGCTCAACTTCAATCAAAGTGTGTGTTGATAATCCCAACGTATAGCCACGTGATCTGCCCAGCTTCCAAATGATTACTTCTTTCCCCAGCTCAACCCCTCACAATTAAATGCTGCTTAGAGAGCAGAAGGCTCTAAAGGAGTTGGGCGGATAGAAACAGGACAGGGAAGGGGGGTGGTCACATAATTGCGACCTAGCATCAGAGATCAGCAGTAGTTTGACAGCAACTACAGGCTGCCCAGCACTAAACAACCGGCTGCCTGTGGTAGGACTCTCTTATTGTAACTGTCAACATATAGTGTCACTTTTTGTCCCAGTGGCATATCTTGTTTTATTTTCTGCAGCATATCCAACATCCATTTGTTCCAATTATGCAGAGACAGCTGCTATTTTCAGGTTACATTCAAATTCGAATTGTTGGCTGTGTGGATTAGATTTCTTCAGCCTGACAAGCCAAAAGATGCCTCCTAGGTGCCTTTTTCACTCAGCTGTGGCTGTATGGGCCCCTCCCTCACTCAGACCAGTGAAAGGAAAGGAAGACACCACAGCGCCACAAAAGCCCTGACAGCGTTCTGTCGCTCAGTGCACAGATCCTCAAAGCATCTGTCATTCTGTTAGTCAGCATGCCAATTTATTCCTCTGGTATTGCATGTAAACTGAGTTCATTCTCTGACATGTGTGACTGCACAGGTAGAGGGCACACGACAAGGCTGTGTAATCTCAGCTCCAGCAGCCAGACTACTGCCATCAGTAATGACTGTCTGGATAAAGAAACAAAAAGGACCCAGGGTTCCCTCTGTTAATCCTGTGTGCTCAATGGTTTTGGTGACTCCTTCTATGTACCTGATGTTTCCAAGTTTGACGCAGATTAAAACATACACACCACATTTATAAGTTCACTCTTTATATTTAAAAGTGACTTCAATAACTTATCCTCAGGCCAAATTAAGGACAGCAGGCTAACAACACCCTAATATCCAACTGATCAATATTTTAAGGACTAAATTCTTAATTTGCTTCACTATGATGTCATAGTGATGCTGCAATAAGAGCAAGAGGAGCTGGAGTAGTTTATTCTCTTTGGCTGATTCTGTCCAATTAAGTCACAATTGTGGTTCTCCGTAAATAACATGGCTGTGAACCACACCATTACTTCTTGTCATATAGTGGGAGTGTGTTACTGTCCTCCATTACCTGTATATATCAGTGACAGCAGCATCAAGGCTCTCTTGTCCGGCCTATTCATCTTCATCATGTTTGAGTATAGTCAATACTCGGAGAGGTCCACTCTTCTGTAGCAGACAGACAGGGTCATGTTTGAGTCTTTGCTCTTCTACTCCACTGCAGATACTGTTTCCAGCTTGGATTTCTCTGAACACTGTCACTGAACACCTTATATAACTTGGTGGAAAAGATAGAGGTAAAAGGAGTCCTTTGAAAGGCAGGACCCATGTCTGTCAAATAATTCCAGCGCAAAATGCTTTTAGTCACAGTGAGTGGCAAGGGGGACTTTCTATAGACACCTGGACGACAGGAGGAGAGTATGAACAAGATAGACTGGGCTAAAATTTACTCTGGAATAAAAAAACTAAATTTTATTATTAATTTGGCAGGGATGGACGGGGGCAGATGACATTCAAGTGTCCAGTGTGGCACTGATAATGCTCCTAAGGGGTTTGTTGGGCGTGCAAATACAGCTTTTCATAATCTTTGCATGTATATTTGTGCCCATAGGAATCAGCGAGTGCTTTTTATCCTTTGACAACACGTCAGTCAGGTGTTCTCCAAGGACTTAAAATGGTAGAGCAAAGACAGGAGGAGCGAAATAGGGCCACGATGTTGGGACACTCAAAAAAAATAGAGGAGAAATAGAAAGCAAAGGAAGAGTGAGTTTTGAAAGACTCCTAACTTCCAAGCTGACTGTCATAGTTATGCTTGCCAGAGGGGAGAGCACCTTTAAGCATACTGGATGAGTGACGATGTGGAGCGACTACAAACGCGCAGTAATACATTATAAGCAGCACCATCCACGCTGGCAGCAAACCTACCGGAGGCTGAAGAGGAGGATTCAGAGCTGCAATACAGGTCAGCACGGGTCTGGCACCGAAAAAGGGACTCCTCTTTTCATAATACAACAGTCGCCATACCTGGAAAACCAAAAATAGGACAAGTTTACTTTTAAAATCAATGCAAGTTGAGAAAACACTGATATTTTAGAACGTGACACACCTACTCCAGAAGACAGAAAACATTCAGAAAACATTCACCTTAGGGCAGAAGCTATTGTAAATACACCTATATTGTGATATTCCTTTGTGTTATAGATTGTGCTGTTAGCTTTTTAGATCGTGAATATGTGGGTTTTTTTTACATCTCAATTAGACAGAGAAAAAGAATATTAAGAGATCCTTTCTATGTCCCACAGATGTGAATTTTCAGTGTTGCATCACAAGTTGCAGAACAGAAGGAGTGCCGAGCACACAACTGTGCATAAATCTGTAGTACACTAAATATTAGGCCTTGAGCGTTCACCTTTTCAGTGATGAAAGTACTAAACGTGTAATTTCATCACTGCATTGAAGCTGCTGGAGGGCATTCTAAGTAAATATTTCTAGACATAACTATTCTATCATTAAATCAATCATTTTTACATTTACATGTGTTGGAGTCTTAATAGAGCAGTTAATGATTGATTGATTGATTACTAAGACATGTCACTTTTATAAGACTAAGAAAATATTTGTTTCCTTGGCTTACTTGTTATTTTTCCGGCTTACACTACAGATTGTACTACTCTAAAGGTAAGGAAGAGACTTTATTATTCGTTTTCGATCCTGAACTTAAGGCTGCATAAGAAAATTTCACTCTGTTTATGATGCACTGTCCTTTGTTAAATAAAAAAAGAAAAGTATTGTATGAAATGTCTTTGCAGGCTGATCTTTAGCCCAGAAGTGCGGATGCAAGCGCTACCCACTGTGTCAATACAATGTCCTGCAGTTTGTTTTGTCTCGCCACCCACAAGTCAAACATTCAGATGTTTTTGTGCCTTTGTTGACATCCAGCTGGTCGTTTAGGCCAAAACCCGCTCCCCGTGTCCTGAAAATCCTGCTTTTTCCCTTGACAGAAAAACAACTCACCAGACATGGGGCGGTCATCTCACACTAAAAAAAGCATTATTCATCTTTTTAAAAATATTTTCTCTATTCATTTCAGTCTTTAAAGCCCCTAAGCTTACTTTTTACAAAACATAGGTACATCATAATTATACAAATGTTATCCTAGTTTGACTATTTAATTATACCCTTAAGTGTACATGTTATTGTTATTGACGACAATAACGCTAGGGATTTTAGTAACCATGTATAAACTACTGTATGAGATCATTTGATTTTTGGGGGCAACAGTGGCCCAGTTGGCCGATCCCCCATGAGACCTAATCCATCTATTCCTCTGATGTCTGCAGTCGTTGTGGACGAGACATACAACCCCACTTTGTCTGAAGCTCTTGCAGAAAGATCAAAGCCGCTCAGAGCAGAGCGGCCGTCCTCTTGTGGACCCACCACCTGCAGGAGGACCAGTGAGGGGCTGGTGTGCTGTGGCAGCTGATGGATCCCCAACACAAAAATTGGAGATGGATATGGAGGGATCATTTGATTTTGAGTGAAAAATCAATGTCAGAAAATGTGTTTGTTGTAAATTTGTACGTTAGTGATGTTCCCAGTTCAAGAACGCTGGAGATTTCAATACATTTATCTTCACAAACTGTTCATTCCACATAAGTCAGTATTAACCCCTGTCATACACATGTTAAGTGCAGGAGCTCTTTTGTACTAACTTCAATGTGAAGAAGTGGTAATTATGGCCGAGTGGAAGCTAGCTGCACCATATGCATTAGAGCCCAATTCGCATCTTTCAATAATTGTCATTTTGAGAAAACTTCAAATAGTCTTTTCTTAAAATGTTCATGGACATGTTTCTTTTCTCTTTGCATGTAATAGTAAGGTAAAGTGCAACATATTATGCATATACTTATGCACATTATAGTTACACAAGGACAGAGTAGTCCCAAGGAAACAGCAATAGTGATAGAATGCATACATTATGAAAGAACCACTTTCAGATTTTAAGACAAGAGATATCTTTATCCATATGGCGCCTTTTACAGACCAGAGTCACCAGACCTATTGTACATGTTTCCAGTGGTAGGGGAAACCTACAAATACAGACACAGGGAGAACATGCAAACTCCACACAGAAAGGTCTAGAGGTGGAATTGAACCAAGGACCTTTTTGTTGTGCAAACAAGCGCTAACCACTGCGCCTCCGTGCATGTTTTAAGTTCAGAGAGAAAACAGGTGAAATCTCAAAAGTGAAGTCCTCACGTGGCACATAAAGGGCACCAGCCGCTGTGGTGGTTCTCAACCAGAGGTTCATTCATCCATTTTCTTCCCCTTAATCAATTTCTTGGTTGGGGGATGGCAGTCAGCTCTGCACCCAATTGCAAAGATGAGAATATGGGCTATCATGGTATGCTATACAATATTTTTAAGCTATTATGAAATCAGCTATATCAATTGTATTAACATTAAACAAAGTATAAAAAATAAAACAAATCTATACTGCAAATCACAATACAACTTGTGGAATAAAGTTCATCATCATTCACATTTTTGTTGAGTAGAGCCAAAAAAAAAAAAAAGCAAAACCCACGACACGACAGTCTTTACTAGTCCCATTTGATTCACTCTATCCAATCCAATCATAAGCCACAATCCAGAGAGGATTCATTTCATTTCACAAACATAAAACTAGCATTTGGAAAGGCAATGATTTTGAGGCAACTCATGGCTTTCAGAATGATGAGATGAATAATTATATCTTTTGAAATTAGGAAAAGCGTCCTCAACATTTTGCACATCATAAAAAGCTGAAAGCCATGAATACACTGGAAACAATAGTCGATGCTGGGGAAAAGGGATTTGATGGTCGGAAATCCAGGTCAGATGCAGTCAGATTAACCCTTGATCTGGACAGGAATATTCATGCAGGCAACATACTATTGGAGGATCCAACACACATAGATTAAAAAGGAACATGATTTATTCACTTAAAAAGTCAACAATACAGAAACAGACATAAGAACATAAGACGTACTAACTTCACAATAATGAAAACGCATAACTATGGTGTGAGTGGGAGGTGGACTGTGTCATAGATGCCAAATTATTTAAGCTAGTGATCAACATATCAGCATCTTAGACAAATATTTAGAAGATATATTGTTGTTTTAACAGAATGTTGCAAAAAAAAAAAAAAAAAAACCAGTACATGGTGTAATAAGTTCATGATGTTGTGTAGGAGTGTCTGGCTGGAAAAAGGGGCTACATTTTGCCTTTATCATCTGCTAAGTGGACAAAGTCAAAGTTTCCTGCAATCCTATCTGGAAAAAGCACGGCTCTTATTACATGGCTCAATTTCCAATTCTTGCAGGTACACGCAAACACGCACATGCAGAATACAGAACGAAGCCGAAGCACCGGAACGATCTCCCAGACAGGCTCAGTGATGCAAAAACCCGAAAACAACAAGGAAAAGGCAAGACAACCATTATGTGAAGCAAGCGTGGGCTTTTGCTGTAACTATTCAAATGTGCTTATGGACGTCTTCACACATGGAGGAGGCAGTTATATCTTCATCACATTAGATCAGGCTTCTTGTGTGGCAAAACAAAAAGGCAGTTTACCCCAGGTGACTGCCACATAGGCTTCCTTGTTTAGCTCAATAGGTTGCGTTCATATTTGAGAATTCCATTTCAGTCGGAGAGCAGGTGCCAATTCAAGTTTGTGAGAAAGTAGTATTTTGTTAAAGAAAATGTCTGTTTTCCCAGATCCAATCATTATATCCTTATTATTCTAATGTTTGAAAGTCCTTTCTACTGGGGACAGGGAAAGCCATGAGATCATAGTTGATGTGTGCTGACAAATAGGATGTGGAACTTTGTGACAGTTATGGTTTTATATGGATTAACCCAGTAATGATAAAGAATTAGCACTAATCTCAGAATAGAGGTCTGAGTTTTGAATATTACATAGTGACCCTGAAATGTATCAACTGCCCTACAGCATCATTTTAAACCATAGGCTCTTTACAATGTCGTGATGATAAACGCAACCTATAGTGCATTTAAATAGTGCTTTATCTGTATCATTCGTTAAAGGCTGTATGGTGCAACATTCTTCCTCTCTCAAAAGGTAACTTGGGAATTAATTAATTAATTAATTAATTAATTAATTAATAATTCATTTGGCAAACAGACCAAACGTCGAACTTAAACTAAAAGGAGTAGAAAAGCTTTTACACACTGGTTTACTGCTTCTCATGTGTAGCATTGACCAGTCTTGTGCAGAGCCGTGTCAGACCTTTCATCTATAGCTGCTCGTGGGGAGTCCTTTGAGGGCACCTCAGTTGGAATCCAAGCAGAGTGCAAATGTTCCTCTAGAGCTCACACACAGCTGACATTATACAAACTAAGAAATCTGTTCTATGTAGTGCTTATGAAGGCAGGGGAAACCTTTAGATCTCTGTTCAGCAGAGTTTATGACATTCATGAAAGCTAAGGTGGAAGATTTATCAAGATCGAGCCAAATATGACAACAGATTTCTGTGAGATTTCTTCATGTTACATTAGCATTGTCTTTGACCCAAATACTGCATATTTGTTGTGGAGGATAAAACATACAGAAAATAGTTTTGAGTAGTTATATTATATTGTACAAACAAGATCTCTTTGGTTAAGTTCAGTGCATATATAAGAGAAAAAGAGAAAAATAAAATATAGCTGGTGATATTGTGAAAAGTTGAGTGCAATACTTTAAAAACATACATCAAAAACTTCCTTCTATGATAGCTGTTTGAGTAGGATAACAATTTCCTCCTCTTCGGGTGCCTCAACACTCATTTTGTCCATTACAGGCACCTTGGAGTGAGGCTAATGAAAGGCCTGTGCCTGGCCTCAAGTCGTTGATTAAGAGCGAGACCAAGACAAACGCCCTTCAAATATAGATAAAAAAAAGTTTTTCACGGCACAGTTGTCAAGGCTCCAATCTTAGAATACGCAGTTGGGAGCACGGAGTAATACATTCATAAAAAAATATTAACTGCATTTGGTTTAAAAATAAGGCAGAAAACTTTGGGGTTTCTAGTAAAGAGAATAATAGTGTTAAAGAAGAATTATTATGCATCCTTTTTGGCTTTTATAATGATAATAACACCATGTACCTTCATTCACAAACCATTTACCTTGTCATTTGATCGGGTAAAATGTGAAACAATCTTATGCAGAACATCTAGTAAAACAAGTAGCATGGAGTGGCAATTAAAAAATTACCAACTGCAAACACAGCCATGTGATTGTAAATGTGCTGTGGATGTCATTTCACCTGAGAAAAGTAAAAAACTAATCTATAGTATAATGTCATAGTGGTACAATGACATCATACTATCACAGGACTGAGACAGGAGACAGAAGAGTTACATGATAGTTTCAGTTCCTGTTTTCGATAAGGGACAATGTTGTAGCATAAAAAGCTTGCATAATATCTCTCCTTTAAAAAGATGTATAAGGCAAAGAAAACAGAAAATAGTCTGTGATAGTGTGAAAAAGGAGGTAAAAAGTTCCCTGGGATGGGGTCGTGTGGAGGTCAGAGATTTCCCTCGTCGAGCATCTTGTTGACGCCATTGCAGATTCGTTGCAGGTAACCGCGGTAAACCTCGGAGGGGCCGTACAGTGCGGCCAGGAAGTCAGAGTCCGAGAAGTGGTTGAAGACGTGGTTGATGCGCGAGTGGCTCTTGGCCGTGAGGTGCCTCTTGATGGCCTGGTGCAGCAGGTCGCGACAGTCGTTCAAGATGGCGCTCATCACACGCCGGTCAAAGGTGAACTCGATCTGGTGGAAGCTGACCGCAGTCATGGCCAGAGTGTGCACCTTTTTTCTGAAACATAAGCAAAGGTATACATCAGAAAGAGTTGCATATTAATGATGAGAAAACCCAATTTCAGTTTATATAAAAGGAAAACATATTTGATTAATTGTGCAAAATACTAAAAATGCACCAAGGACATCCATGGCAGTATTTTTGCAAAAGCAGCAGTAAGTTAGCAATGCAAAGTAAAGGATGTTTTGAAAGACAAAATATCATGCCTTTTCTACAAACTATGTACCCAAAACTAATCATACATTGATTTCAACTACAGTTATAGTTTCTATAATACAACTGTTAAAGGGACGGTGTGCAGTATCCATGAATACTGATCCAATAAAATGTTGCCAGAATCTAACCGGCCTGGTTCTGACACAATAAAAATGGCAACCAGAATGACTCTTATTCTGCTCTCTGATTAGATTATCAGCTTAAAAATATCGTGGGAAACATTGTACTATTTATTCAGAATAACTCCACTTTAATGTATCCTTATCTGGACATGCATACAGTATAAAGGAAGTAGATGTTTAAAAATATTATATTAATATTAATTAATTAATATTTTCATTTTAAATTACATCAGCCGAAACCCTTTTGTTCTAATAATAATAATAATAATAATAATAATAATGATACATCAGTTTTATGTAGCGCTTTTCAAGAACTCAAAGACGCTTCACAAATTCATGACACAAACACACACGTTTAGACAGACACACAAACTAAAAATCTAAGAGTGAGGAAGAAGGATAGAATGTTTAAACTAAGAGTCAAATGCTCGGAGGAAAAGGTGAGTTTTGAGCTGTTTTTTGAAGGAGTTTAGAGAGTCCGAGTTTCTGAGATGGAGGGGGTTCCAGAGAGTGGGAGCAGAGATGGCGAAAGCTCGCCATCTCTGCTCGCCATCTCTGCTCGCCATCTCTGCTCGCCATCTCTAATCTTTGCTGACCAAAGATAAAAATAATAATAATACAATTGTTACCGTATCGGTAACGCTTTATATTAAGGTGTGCTTGTTAAGTATTAATAAGGTATTAATAGACATTAGCAAAATGCTTATAGATTGCTTATATGTACTTATAAACATATTAATAAGCTGCTCATTTCACTATTCTCTAAATTATGTTGTTCTAGTTATATGCTTTTAAGCATTTAATAAGTAATTAGTAAGATACTTATTAAAGGAGGAATATGTTTATAAATATATGAATAAGCTGCTTATTAAACTATTATCGATTCCATGTTAATAGGCCACTGACAATATGCCTATAAAGATATTAATACGCTGTTTATTAATAGGCAATAGTGGTAATAGGCCACTAAAAATATGCGTTAATAAACTGCTTATTACACTATTTTGCAGTACCCTAATCTAAAGCGAGGAGCATTTTTGTTAATGCAGAAAAAAACACAACAATGATCTAAGATGTTTTTATTTATTCAAACAGCAACAATTAAAGTCTAAATGAAAAAAAATATCAAAATTAAGTTTGTGCCAAAAGTTTGTTAGTAACTTCAAGGAGCCATGATGAACCCACTCATGCTCCGACCTGCTTGAATTTGGCTTTGGCAAAACAGTGAATCAGCTGACTTCACAAGCCTGAGAGATTAGCGGACAGGGGTGGGAACCTAAGGGTACCTAACGATACGATACGATACACGATACAAAGCTCACGATAAAGATTACAATAACGATTTTATCACAATATGACGATTATTGATATATTGGTCAGAAATATACAATATGCCAATTTATGGCATAAATAAAAAATAAAAAACTCTTTATTTCATGATAAATAGAATGGAGATGCGTAATGTAGCCATATATTAAGTATTGATACCAATAAAAACGAAAAAAAAGAGAAAAAAAACATTTTTCAATTTTTTTTTCAAAATTGATATTGATACTTGGCAAATGCATATTGATAATCGAATCGCGGGAGAAAGTATCGTCACACCCCTATTAGCGGAACTCGCCTATTTTTGGGCATTGTCTGGTCCTACCGGTTCTGCGCAGTTGACGAGCTCCCATGATGCTTTGCGCCAAATACGCGTGCGTGGCTGTCATGCACGTGCACAGCAGCAGCTCTGACCAATCAGAGCTGCTGATCAGAGCGGGAGTTAGAGCGGGAGTAAGAGCCAGACGAGTAGAGTTTGTGCCAGTAAAATGTGGATTTAAAGAAAACTGAAGGATTTAAGAAGAAAAAAAGTTCAATATGACAAGGGACACTAAAAGCCCCACAAAATCCGACCTTTATGAAAGCTGTAGGTTCTCTGTCAGCTGAGGTCGAGCTGTTTTAGTTTACATTGAGTTCTATGGGGACAATTTCTGGGTAGCCCACGTGAATTTAGTTTGCAGTACCACGAGAATCTCCCGAGCTACAAGCTAGTAATACCCTATCCAGTTATTATAATAGATCCATGTATACAACGCACCTGTGGCACAACCATGGAACTATAATAATAACTGGATAGTGTATTCCTAGCTTATTGCACTGCAGACTAAATTCACGAGGGCTACCCAGAAAAAGTCCCATAGAACTCAATGTAAATTAAAACAGCTCGACCTCAGCTGACAGAGAACCTGACAGAGAACCCACAGATTTCATAAAGGTCGGATTTTCTGGGGATTTTAGTGTCCCTTGTCATCCTGAACTTTTTTTCTTCTTAAATCCTTCAGTTTTCTTTAAAGTGGTTCTCACCCCCGCTCCTCGGAGCTTACGTCACTCACATTTCCTGTTCAAATCTTCCTCTAAATGGGCGTAGCCTGGAGGACTAAAGGGGGCGTGAACGAGACTGGGCCGTTTATATAGCTCTGGGCGGGGGGCTGCTGACGTCAGGTCTCAGGCGCCAGATTCAAAATTCAAATGTAGTAATACAGGTCGCCAGCAGATGGCGCCTCACAGATGGTTTTAGGCAGAAAGTTTAACTTTCAACTAATTTGCACCAAAGTGACAAAATTATGACCAGGATATGTAGACAACACTATTGAACACTCATTTATACCGTTTATCAGCACACAAAAAAAGTGGATTTGAGGGTGAGTTGTCCTATAAATCCACATTTTACGGCCACAAACTCTACTCGTCTGGCTCCCGCTCTTACTCCCGCTCTAACTCTCGCTCTCAAAAATAGGCGAGTTCCGCTAATCTCTCAGGCTCGTTAAGTCAGTTGATTCACTGTTTTGCCAAAGCCAAATTCAAGCAGGTCGGAGCATGAGTGGGTTCATCATGGCTCCTTGAAGTTACTAACAAACTTTTGGCACAAACTTAATTTTGATATTTTTTTTTCATTTAGACTTTAATTGTTGCTGTTTGAATAAATAAAAACATCTTAGATCATTGTTGTGTTTTTTTCTGCATTAACAAAAATGCTCCTCGCTTTAGATTAGGGTACTGCAAAATAGTGTAATAAGCAGTTTATTAACGCATATTTTTAGTGGCCTATTACCACTATTGCCTATTAATAAGCAGCGTATTAATATCTTTATAGGCATATTGTTAGTGGCCTATTAACATGGTATCGATAATAGTTTAATAAGCAGCTTATTCATATATTTATAAACATATTCCTCCTTTAATAAGTATCTTACTAATTACTTATTAAATGCTTAAAAGCATATAACTAGAACATCATTTAGAGAATAGTAAAATGAGCAGCTTATTAATATGTTTATGTACATATAAGCAATCTATAAGCATGTTGCTAATGTCTATTAATACCTTATTAATACTTAACAAGCACACCTTAATATAAAGCGTTACCAAAGTATCTTACATGGATTATTGATTTCACATTTCATCAGGCTACATCGCTAATAAAGCATGGGGCTCCCCAACCATGTTGGTGGTCGCCCTACGAAAGTGGATTTTTGCTGGTTTCATCCATAATATGCATCATAGTGGGAAAGCAATCTGGTTTAATGAGTCTGAGTCTCCAAAAGCAATAAAGTATATATAAAGCATAAATGTAATTCATTAATAATATTCTAAATACAAGTAACAGAGGCTCTCTTTTGGCTTCAGATTTTTTTCATAGTTTTACTATCGCAAAAACACCCCATGCTAATTAAATCAGCCTCTTCCCTGGTGTGTACTTGACTCAGTTTAACTTACCTCCAAGCAGTTTTACAATTCAATGGAAATTATATAAACAGAATAAAATCTTTTAATTTGCAACCATCAGCGTAAACAAAGGCAGTTTTATTGAATCAGTATACATAATTGAAGCTCTCAATTTATGCTCAGGCATCTAATTTAAGAAATGGGACTTATGGACAAACTTGGAAAATTAGAATATTGTTCAAAAGTTCAATTATATCTGAGTGGAGTTTAAATGCCTTGGGTGTCTGAGAACAACAGACAGATCGTTGCTGCGTGTGCAGTGATGCAGTTGCTGTATCGGACTGTTGTGGTGCAGAGCTGATCTACGTCCCCACCCTCACCTATGGCTACGAGCTTTGAGTAATGACTCAACGGACAAGATCACTACAAGCGGTTGAAATGAGTTTTCTCAGCAGAGTAGCTGGGGTGGGGAAGGACACTGGAGGGACCATGTCACTCAGCTGTCCTGGGAATGCTTAGGATTGAGCTGTTTGTGGAAGTGTTTGTGGAAAGGGAAGTGCTGGGGCCCCTGTTTAGACGGAGACGCTGCAAAGCAATTTGCAAAAAGGACCAGGCTCCGCATTCAAAGTGTTAGGCGTCTAGAGATGATGGAAAGCAATCTTCCTTAACAACATCCTCCTCAGGCCACGGCAAAGATGTGAAATAATGCACCAACATCATTCTGCATTTAACAGCAGCAGCAAAAATGGAAACTGAAACTAGAGCTTTGTTAGTTTTGTTTGGACGAACGAAGGAGTAGAATTCTCCTCAGTGTAACGCTCGAAGCATTCATAGCATTACTACTGCGCATGTCCAAACGTAAATGCACGGTCATAGCAGGCAGAGAATTCACACCCTTTTCTTCACACTGCTATGAAACAGCCCCCACCGCGCAGCGTATTTGTTCTGTTCCACTCTGGAGGCTACAGTATTTCTCAACACTTGCGTTTTCACCTGAAACACCGTCTTCATGTAAACGAAAGGCCAATCCGATACCCAACTCTAACGCTTTACTGTCGCAGCGTTCTCGTGTAAACAGCACATCAGACTGCTGCTCCTGCGACCCCGCAGAGGAATAAAAAATGGATGGGACCAATAGACGATTCAGACTCATTACATGCTAAGTGGCATATGCAATCCTTTAATTGTAATATTTTGAAAATGCCATGATAATCAAAATGATATTTTTTTAAATGATTTATTTGGGGATTTTGCAAAATGAGAGCCAATTATCAACTTTTTAACAAATAAAAGCTTGATAAGACAAGATAAGATAGACTTAATTTTCTCACATTGGAGACATTTACATGTCTCATTTGGCCTGTATAGAATCACTCAGATTGTGCAAAAGACAGAAGTGTTATATATGATAGATCTCACTTTGCTTGTACCGAGTTTGTCATACTAGTGTCACATTGTAAGTTCCAGACACAAAAGGACTTTTGAACAATGTTCTAATGAGTTTAACCTGAACTAAACCACTTTTATTTCTTTGAGCTCACCTGAAGTTCTCCACCAGGATCAGTTCTTCGTGGTTGAATTGGTTGTTTCGGTAGAGCACTCCCAGCTTCACCACCATCTTGATGAGGTTTTTGATGATTTTCTGCGCCTCCTTGCGGTTGTGTGTGTACTCCTTGGTGACGCGATAGAGCTCGTCCAGGACCTCGTTGCTGGTGTCGTCGATGAACATGCTGGCCATGCTCTTGGTGGCCATCTTACTCATGAGCTTCTTCTGAGCCTGCAGCGCCAGACTCTTGGTGCTGAAGGAGTCCATGCTCAAGGGCAAACTGTGAGGATGATAAATGGCAAGATCACTTTTCAAGATCATATTTTTTCGAACAATCAAATAGATCCCGAAAGGTCAGTGAATATGGGATTTTGTTTACACATGACCAAAACAAAGCTCCCTGGGGAACATCATTTACATGTACAAACTCCATGACATAGATGATCACCATAATTACAGACTAAAAAGGAACACATTTACTTTTATAAAATGTAGAGCTACTTTATAATATGAAATTCACTTCTACCCCCAGTCATTATAGGTAATTATCAGAATCAAAAAACCACTTATATGATCAGCATATTTACGAAATTAAATTAAATTAACAACTATTTCAATAATTATAGATAAAGTTGCTATTAATAAATAACCTTGTTACAGCCCCAATCTTCAACATGACTTAAAGCTGGTGCACCAACTCAGAAACCACAAAAAGATTGGATTAAAATCACTTGTATTCATGTACATGTATTGTTTTGCCCTCATACCACCAATCAGCTCTCACATAACATGTGTTCTAAGATATGAAACAATGCATGTTGTGATAACAAAATGTTACTTAAAACAAGACTTTCTGTTGAGACGATGTATTTGAAAAACAAGAAATACTCCATCTTTAAACTGTAGGTCCTCTTTATGCAGCAGCTGTCACACTTTATATCCCTCGGCCAACAAGGTAGTTGGAGATATGTGTCATTAGAAGCTTCAGAGTTCAGCCAGTTTGATACCACTCAGACACACAGCCTGGACTTGAGCAGAATCCATTTGAACAACTCAATGGATTTATTTCTACCTCTGTGTCACAAAGTGAGTGCAAGGCTGAGCTCAAAGTGTTAGGGGTCACAGGAGTCATTCTCTCCTTCCATCTCTCATATTGAATAGGCCACGGCACCCGCATCTCAATGTGTTTCACAGTCAACTACGTCCTGTTTGTATATTAATCTTGAAAAATAGAATTCATAATTTTCAGAGCACTTTGGGTCGAAGCTTAACACTTCCAAGGATAACCTGGAGGGCAGCTCAGTATACAGACACAAACTGCTCCTTCAAGTGCTGCTCTTGATGCAGCAAGGGAATGAATAAGATTGAGTGGAATATTACCATTGTGACATGGACTAATGTGATGGTCACGTTAAAAACAACTTTATTATGCAAAACCTCATCAGAGCAAACTTTAATTCAGCTAATGCATACTCACATTACTATGGCTGTCACAACACAAATATAAATATGTTTGCTAAGTGTCACATTCATATGATAATAGCTTTCATGAGACAGTATATTTCTAGTTCTACTGGTAGGCCTGCTCTTCGTTGTCATCTTACTCATAAGCTTCTACTGAGCCTGCAGCGGTAGACTCTTGGTTGTAATGAAAAAAGTCTGAGTGATTTCATGCATTGTGGTAAGATGAATAAAAAAAGACCATCTTTTCTTGGCTGTAATTAACAATAATTTTGATCATCTATAGTTGGCCTTAAGGGGTCTTTCTCAGCCTGCCAATTTGATACAATGCATTTGTAAACATTATGATACAATTCCATAAAATCATAAATCTACATAGTTAGATGGATAAATACTTTATTGCAAAAATAAAAAATAAAATTGATTCTAAAAAGCTAATAATAGTAATAATAAGCAACAGCCCTTCAGGTCACAGCAGCAGAGATGGAGTAGCCTCTGGGTGGAGCAGGTGGAGTGGCCGCTTGTTTTGGAGCATTTTCTCTGCTCTAGTCCAAAGTGTAATGCCAAATATTCATTAGCATTTTTCAAAAAGTTAGCATTCCTCCAGAGGATTTTCGCCTGATCCGCTTGGTTCGGACCATGAATCCTCTCCGCTTCAGTCTGGACCAGTGTAAAACCATGAACACTGTACTGCACCAACATCTCAGATAGAAAAATGAAAAATGTAAAAGCACAAAACAACTGTTTCAGAGCTGTTAACATGTTACGTTCTGTCGCGGGTTCTACTGCGTCACTACGCGGGAGCGTGAGTGGGCTGGTCTCTTCCTGGAGTGGAACATGGCGGTTAAATAAAAATTGCTCTCTGCAACAAGAACCTTGTCTGTTGGAATTTACATGGTAGCAGAGGATGGTTTCCAACTATAGAGTACCGCCGAAGTTCGACGAAGCTCGGCCGTATGAGTGTTGGAAAAATGAAGTTAGTATTTGGAGACTTGTTACGGAGCTGGACAAGACAAAACAAGCGCTGGCAGTGGCGCTTGGGCTCGAAGGGAGAGCCAGAGAAACGGCGCTGGAAATATCCGTGGTGGATTTAAACAAAGATGACGGTATGGAGACGTTACTTGCAAAACTGGATGCGGTGTTTTTGATAGAGGAAAAGGACCGCGCGTACGAAGCGTACTCTCATTTTGACTCGATCACTAAAGGCAGTGCTTTGTCCATGGCGGACTACATCATTGACTTTGAGCAGCGGTATAACCGCATGAAAAAGTACAACATGACCCTTCCTGACGCTGTTCTGGCTTTCAAGCTCCTGGACACGGCATGTCTGGAGGAGAAAAGCAGACAGCTGGCATTGACTGCGTGTACGAAGCTGACTTTTGCATCAATAAAGTCCGCATTAAAACGCATATTCGGAAGAAAAACAGCATGTGGGACAAACGCAATCGAGGAGATTCAAGATGGTGCATTTTTCACGGAGCAACGGCCCAATGTGAAATTCAAACGTAGCAATGGCTCGTCCCAGAGCGGATATCAGCGGCAGCAGCAAGGAACGAATCCACTTGACAAGTACGGTAAGCGGACGAGATGCGCCGTGTGTCAGAGTACCTATCATTGGGCTAAAGACTGTCCCCATCGCAGAAATGACGTTAAGTTAACGGAAGATGAAAGTGTTGAAGAATGTAACATCACTCTGTTCACTAAAGCAGCTATGACAGAGTCAGAAATATTCCTAACTGAGTCTTTAGGATCTGCTATTATTGACACTGCTTGTACACGTACCGTTTGTGGTCAGAAGTGGCTGGACAGTTATGCTAAGGGTCTTAACAAACGCCAAATCAACAAACTGCTAAAAACAGAACATCCTAGCAGCCGTCCGTTCAGATTTGGAGATGGTCAAGTTGTGTACTCTAGCAGAAGAGTGAAACTTCCTGCAGATTGGACAGACAAAGTGCCACATTGAAACTGAAGTTGTTCCAGCTGATATTCCCCTGTTGTTGAGCAAAACGTCCCTGAAAAGAGCAGGAACTATTTTAGACATGGAGAATGACAGAGTTGTCATGTTTAAGCAGACTGTGCCTCTGGAGCTTACAAGTTCAGGACACTATTGCGTGGACATTAGGGATTAACATGCTGAAGTGAGCTGTAATGAAAGTGAAGTCCTAGTTGTCACTGGAGAAATGTCCACTAAAGAAAAGCGTAAAGTTCTTCTAAAACTTCACAAGCAGTTTGGCCACGCATCTGCAGAAAGACTTCAGAAGCTCATTCAAAGCTCCGGAAACACTGATCAAGACTGCCCCATCATTCTGCAGGAGATCATTCGTGACTGTGAGATCTGCCAAAGATACAGCAGGTCCAAGCCAAAGCCTGCTGTTGGTCTGCCATTAGCCTCACAGTACAATGAGACAGTGGCTTTGGATCTTCATGAGCTGGAGCCTGGCGTATGGTACCTCCACATCATTGATCATTTTACACGTTTCAGCTCTGGAAACATTGTGAGGACCAAGAAACCTTCGGAGATAGTCAACTCGTTCATTCACTCGTGGATAAGTGTCCACGGCGCACCAAAACGGATCTACACAGACAACGGCGGGGAGTTTAACAATGCGGAGATACGAGACATGGCAGAGAACTTCAATATTGAGACTAAGACATCAGCAGGATACAGTCCCTGGAGCAACGGACTGTTGGAGAGACACAACATGACACTAACTGAAATCCTTCTAAAGGTGAAAAGGGAAAATGTGTGTGGGTGGCAAACAGCTTTAGATTGGGCTCTTATGGCCAAAAACAGTATGCTCAATGTGCATGGTTACAGCCCGCACCAACTTGTGTTTGGTCAAAATCACAATCTTCCTTCTGTTTTGATTGATAAACTACCCGCTCTAGAAGGTACTACTGTGAGCACCAGAGTAGGGCAGCACATAGCAGCATTGCATGCCTCTAGAAAAGCTTTCACAGAGGTTGAATGTTCAGAACGAATCAGGAGGGCAATCAGAAAGCAGCTTAGGCCTACAGATGAAAAATATGAGACCGGAGACAGAGTGTACTACAAAAGAGCTGACAGTACAGAATGGAATGGCCCAGGTGTAGTTATTGGGCAGGATGGGTCTGTAGTATTTATCAGACATGGGGGAATCCTAGTACGTGTGCATCAATCTAGGTTGAGTAAGGTAAATACACCTGATGCAGATACAATAGAAAATGCTACCGAAAACATTACAGAAAATAAAAAAATAGTACATACTGGTGTGTCAGAAGCACAAAGTATACATGGAGTAGATCAAATCGTTGATTATAGTGAGAATGATGTAGATGAGAACCCTACAGAAACCAATGTAACGCCTCCTGATGCAGAAAGTAATGGAAGTGCTGATTTAAAACTGAAAACTGGCCAAACAGTCACATTTACAGACCGAGAGGGTATTGAGCACACTGGCAAAGTTTTAGGGAGAGCAGGAAAATCAAAAGGGCAATATAAAGACTGGTACAAGGCACAATATCTTGAGCCTGATGGTAGTGAGGGACAAAAACTAGCATTAGCTATGTCAGATGTTGATAACCTTCACATTGAGCCGGAAAATGCAGAGGCTGATGTTCTTATTGTCAAAGATATCTCTTTTGATAGTGCCAAACAGCTAGAGATAGAGAATTGGCAAAACAATGTTTTTGAGAAGGTAGCAGACAAAGGTCAAAAATGTGTGTCTACTAGATGGGTCTGTACATTCAAAAAAAACACAGTGGTATTCTCCCTAAAGCACGGCTTGTAGCGAGGGGTTTTGAAGAGGTAAATAATAGTAGTTTACAGAAAGATTCCCCAACATGTGCATCAGAGTCTCTCAGAATGACATTAGCGGTTGCCAGTCAAAATAGGTGCAAAATTCACTCTATGGATATTAAGTCTGCCTTTTTACTGGGAATGGAACTCTCGAGAGATGTTTACATTCGGCCCGCACTTGAGGCTGAAGGGGACAATGTACAGTGGAAACTAAAGAAATGTGTATATGGACTTGCAGACGCTTCTCTTTACTGGTACAACAAGGTCAAAGAACTGATGCTGAACACAGGTGGAAAAATGTCTCGGGTGGATCCAGCTGTGTTTTTCTGGAGGAATGAAAATTCTAAGGTCATTGGTGTACTGTCATGTCACGTAGATGACTTCCTTTGGGCAGGATCTGAGCAGTTTGTGACAAAAGTGATTCCTGTGGTAAAGTCTACCTTTCAAGTGGGGCGTGAAGAACATGAGAATTTTTCTTATGTAGGTATGGATATTGTCACAATTGGAGACAAGTAGCTCAGTTGGTAGAGCATTGGCCTTTGGGCCTGAAGGTTGTGGGTTCGAGCCCACCATAAGACCTACTTCACGACTCCCACTGATGACTGCTGTCGTTGTGTCCTTGGGCAAGACACTTAACCCTACTTTGCCCAAAGCCCCAACTGAAAGATCTCAGCTCCTGTGGACTCACCACCTGCACGAGGATCAGTGAGGGGCTGGTGCTATGTGTCCTGGGTGCAGCTCTGGCTGCCACCCCCCCGACCCAGAAATGGATTAAGGGGAAGAAAATGGATGGATGGATGGATGGAGACAATATATTGGTACATCAGCACAGTTACATTGAAAATCTCCAACCAGTGTCTTTAAAGGCAGCTCGGGCAGTGCAGAGGGCTGCCCCTTTAAATGAGACAGAAAGAGCAGCTCAGGTCTAAAATAGGACAGATTCTGTGGGTTGCTAAACAAACAAGGCCAGATATTATGTTTGACACATGTAGCCTAGCATCTAACATTACAAATGCAACTGTCCAATCCATACATGAAGTGAACAAGGTAATCCGTAAACTTAAGTCAGAGAAGGTCACACTTAAGTTTCAGCCTTTAGGAAACAAAGATGATCTGAGTCTTGTGGTCTGTAGTGAAGCTTCACTTTGCAATCTTCCAGATGGTGCAACTCAAGGAGGGACTTTAATTGCGCTTATGGGTAAAGGAGGCACGTTTTCCCCTTTGTTTTGGCAGTCTAAGAAGATCAGGCGTGTGGTAAAAAGAACTTTGGCAGGAGAAACTCTGATAACCATTCACTGTTTGATGCTCTTAAGTCCACAAAGCAGGTCACAGAGAAGAGACTGAGACTAGAAATAAGTAGCATTAAAGAGCTACTACATGCAAATAAAATCAGGCAGATCTGTTGGTCAGAAGCAAAGTCACAACTTGCTGATTGTTTAACCAAAAAGGGAGCTTCACCACTTATGCTTCTTAAAGCCTTAGACGAGGGCTCATGGTCGCTTTAATTTCTTTTTCTGTTTACACAGGCTCTTAGCACTGTTGTTGTTTTGTTGTGTACATTGTTCTGGATGTGTGTATGTCTCTCAAGCACACTTAAATGTTTTTTTTATTTAAAGAAAGGGGGAGATTGTTAACATGTTACGTTCTGCCGCGGGTTCTACTGCGTCACTACGCGAGAGCGTGAGTGGGCTGGTCTCTTCCTGGAGTGGAACATGGCGGTTAAATAAAAATTGCTCTCTGCAACAAGAACCTTGTCTGTTGGAATTTACAAGAGCTACTAAGGATCTGCTGCCGTTTTCCAGCGCATTCAAAAGTAAACCAAATATTCTTTGACAAAAAAATCAATGCATCTCAAAATCCTTTTTTGAACACAACCCTTGTTTGCTGATTATTCTTTCGATCCAATGTTAGCTTGGATAGCAAACAATCCCTGGAGAGCATCTTCATAGGCATAACTTAGAAATACAGTGCCTTGCGAAAGTATTCGGCCCCCTTGAACCTTTCAACATTTCGCCACATTTCAGGCTTCAAACATAAAGATATAAAAATTTAATTTTTTTGTCATACATCAACAACAAGTGGGACACAATCGTGAAGTGGAACGAAATTTATTTGAAAATTTAAACTTTTTTAACAAATAAAAAACTGAAAAGTGGGGCGTGCAATATTATTCGGCCCCTTTACTTTCAGTGCAGCAAACTCACTCCAGAAGTTCAGTGAGGATCTTTGAATGATCCAATGTTGTCCTAAATGACTGATGATGATAAATAGAATGCACCTGTGTGTAATCAAGTCTCCGTATAAATGCACCTGCTCTTTGATAGTCTCAGGGTTCTGTTTAAAGCGCAGAGGGAACCATGAAGACAAAGGAACACACCAGGCAAGTCCGAGATACTGTTGTGGAGAAGTTTAAAGCCGGATTTGGATACAAAAAGATTTCCCAAGCTTTAAACATCTCAAGGAGCACTGTGCAAGCAATTATATTGAAATGGAAGGAGTATCAGACCACTGCAAATCTACCAAGACCCGGCCGTCCCTCCAAACTTTCATTTCAAACAAGGATAAGACTGATCAAAGATGCAGCCAAGAGGCCCATGATCACTCTGGATGAACTGCAGATAACTACAGCTGAGGTGGGAGAGTCTGTCCATAGGACAACAATCAGTCGTGCACTGTACAAATCTGGCCTTTATGGAAGAGTGGCAAGAAGAAAGCCATTTCTCAAAGATATCCATAAAAGTCTCGTTTAAAGTTTGTCACAAGCCACCTGGGAGACACACCAAACATGTGGAAGAAGGTGCTCTGGTCAGATGAAACCAAAATCAAACTTTTTGGCCACAATGCAAAACGATATGTTTGGCGTAAAAGCAACACAGCTCATCACCCTGAACACACCATCCCCACTGTCAAACATGGTGGTGGCAGCATCATGGTATGGGCCTGCTTTTCTTCAGCAGGGACAGGGAAGATGGCTAAAATTGATGGGAAGATGGATGGAGCCAAATACAGGACCATTCTGGAAGAAAACCTGTTGGAGTCTGCAAAAGACCTGAGACTGGGACGGAGATTTATCTTCCAACAGGACAATGATCCAAAACATAAAGCCAAATCTACAATGGAATGGTTCACAAATAGACGTATCCAGGTGTTAGAATGGCCAAGTCAAAGTCCAGACCTGAATCCAATCGAGAATCTGTGGAAAGAGCTGAAGACTGCTGTTCACAAACGCTCTCCATCCAACCTCACTGAGCTCGAGCTGTTTTGCAAGGAAGAAAGGGCAAGAATTCCAGTCTCTCGATGTGCAAAACTGATAGAGACATACCCCAAGCGACTTGCAGCTGTAATTGCAGCAAAAGGTGGCGCTACAAAGTATTAGCGCAAGGGGGCCGAATAATATTGCACGCCCCACTTTTCAGTTTCTTATTTGTTAAAAAAGTTTAAATTATCCAATAAATTTCGTTCCACTTCACGATTGTGTCCCACTTGTTGATTCTTAACAAAAAATTAAATTTTTATATCTTTATGTTTGAAGCCTGAAATGTTGAAAGGTTCAAGGGGGCCGAATACTTTCACAAGGCACTGTATATGGGTCATGGATCCTTTTTGTTGCATGTTTAAGTCTATGTAGGGCTCAAAAAGCAATGAATTGAATACTAAATTAGTTGACTAATTGTTTGTGATTAATTGATTTACTTACAGCCCAAACCAGTTTTCATGACGCAGTATATTTCATGTTTGATTGTAAAATTACAAGGAGGACTTACAGCAGTCATAATAACCGTCTGAAAGGTGCCATTAGTGTGGGAGCTAGTGACTGATGGCATCCCAACAGTGACGTATGTGACTTTATCGGTGTTGGTAGATGGCAGTAGTCTCCTGCCACACTGGGTGACTTTCATTTCTCTCTTGCTGCTGATCTCTGCAATGCTCTTCTAAGAATATCAATAAGATTCCTTGGAGACAACGTAGACAGGAAGCCTCCCAGGGAAGACGACTCGAGAGGCAAGACAGATCCAAATCCGCCATAAAGGTGTTTTAGATATGGCCTCCCAAAACACAGAGGAAGTCTGGGTGTTCAGTCATTCATATTAATCCCCCTTTTGGCAAAGGGGTGTTTAATCTGGCCTCTCACTGTGCTGCTGATAAAGGATCCCCATTGACCCTGACAACACGTTAAAAACCCAGAGCTGCTTGTTAGAGTAGCTGCCATGATGCAATGCGCATGTAATAAAAGGAACTGGAAAAAACCACTATTGATTAGAAACTAAAACTTGTGATTTCAATATGACTGAATATGACAAGAGGGCTCCCATTACTGGGACAAAATACAAGATACAAACACGCAATTCTTCTCTGCTTCCAAGGGAGAAATTATTTAATTGAGCAGATCGACCGATATTTGCTCTCTGAGGTTGATGCCAATACTTTCAAAGTTTTACTGGACGATTCAAAATGATAATTGTAGGCTGAAAATGAAGATGGGGTAGATGCTAATGGATGGGTTTACTTTAAATTGAAGGAGAGGAACCATATCCAGTATTATCTCTAAAGGTAAAGATCTAGAGTGATAGATAAAAACAAACATATTTATAATCATTGTTTTGAGTTATGTTTTGGGACGTTTGTTTGGAGTAAAATACATTATGGGATTGTTTTGTCAATCACACAATGTCAGGGTGATCTATCGGCTGGGAAAACGGAATAGAAGATACTTAAAACACTTTTTTGCCTGTGCCATTTAACTGGGACTGCATTATAAAAAAATAAAATAATGTGGATATATCAGCAAACCAATAAATCGGTTTCTCGCTAACATAGATGTTATAGAAGTGACCGGCAAATCGGCAATCTCCTTATTTTGATTTTGTTTTACCCAGTGAAGGGCATTTGAGGCTCATAACATTCAGCTCATGTCTGGAATCACAGTTATAGCCGTCTGCCGTTTGCCCACTGATGAAAGAGAGTGCCATGAATACAGCTGCTTACACTTTTATTTGGAGATGAAACGTGAGCTCTTATCTTATAGAAAGAGGAATATCCTTCTAACATTCAGGTTTCTTCTCCAAAGGGAAAAGACCACAGCATCATGAATATAGGATTTTCTAGGGACAAGAAAGTAATGAATGCTTTGAAATCAAGTTTACGTGCTTTATTGCTGCCTAGAACGTGCAGTTGGTAGTGAATATTGGAAACTGAACAGAGGGGAAATCCCAGACACAGCATTTTTGTTGTAGTTATAGAGACTACAAACTAGAAAGAACACTTCATCACATGCAAAGTGATCACACAAAAACAAATCCAGACAAGCATGAAGTCAGCAGCAGCCTCCTTTATACAATAATATTATAACCAAAACTTAAAAGTCCCTAAATCAACAGTTTGTTAAACCCCACACGAGTCAGTCGAACAGAA